GTCACAAGCCAGTGGGCACGTTTCAGGCTGACTACTTCTAGCTTAAGGTGCTGGTGAGGGCGTGGATATGAAGTTGCTTCTCCTCACGGCAAAACAGGTACAAGAAAGACCATTCTAGATTGTCTACAAAGATCCATCTAGAACAGGGTTTGCCAAACTTGGTCCTGGCCCCCCCGGTGCACATTTTGGTTTTTGCCCTAGCACTACACAGCTGATTCAAATAACCAACTCATCATCAAACTTTGATAATTTGAATCAGCTGTGTAATGCAAATTGACACGTCAGAAAACAAGAGCAACACAACCTCACTGCCTGGAACACACCCATTGAGCGAGCGCCTTAAAAGTCCTTCAGCTAGACCTGAGAGGTCATATAATTGAAACGTCTGGACCTGAAGAAGTGTTTAATGTCTCAGGAAACCCATTATAGCTTGTAAGGATGTTTTCCTGCTACCATTGATGACTGTGTTCCTGGTCGGGTATCATGTCTGAGGAAATGAGACTGCGTCTGACTCCTTGCCCTGAGGAGGAGTGTATTTCATATGGCCAGATATGCTCTAAAAAGACCATTCTACATCAGGCTGTGAACATATCATCCATTGATTAATCATAGAGTGTAGATATGTTTTGGGTTTATAAAGATGTTTGTGTTCGTTCCTTTTTGTTTATTTTATCTCATAGCTTCATGTGCACAAATTCTCCTCATACACAAGTAAAACACATTCTATAGTTTTGGACTACCGCCATCTTACAAGATGATGTTTGGCCAACTTCTCCACCATCAGACGTGTACATAGCTGCATTGTTTACCAAACCAGGTCGTTATGTCAATCTACAAAATTCATGTTAATGTGATGCCAGCTCTGTCTTTTGTAGGTATCAGAATGTCAACGATTCTATTTACATGTTCAAGGACGGTCGTGGAGGCTGGAGGATGGGCTCATTGAAATGGAATGGAATCAAACGTGGTTTCCATATGTTTGATGTGTTAGATACCGTTCCATTTATTCAATTCCAGCCATTACAATGAGACCATCCTCCTATAGCTCCTCCCACCAGCCTCCACTGGTGTAGACATCTCAGAAATTGAAACCAGTTTGTCCACAAATAGCAGAGGGAATAGTAGGAAATCTATATACCTTACTCATGAAGAAAAAACCTCCCTCCTCCTATAGATCTTCCTGTCTTTACCTTATTGTGTGGTTCCCTCCCCATGCATCTGATACAACCCTAGGTGTTAACTTTAGCCACATGCTCAATGCAACACAACCTCTGTTTGAACATTGTTATGTGGTAATGCACCTACAGTAAAAAGCTTGTTTGCGTTCCACCATTAGACATTAAATAATAAGAAAAAAAGAACACGCCCACATTGAGAGAGTCCTGCCCCTTCACCTGGGAGCAGAGGGGTGCTGTAATAGGCACTGTTTGATGGCCATTTATTTACCTCAACGAGCAGATGCTCTGAACCAGGGGTGTCAAACTCATTCTATGGAGGGCCTAGTGTCTGCAGGTTTTTCTTCTTCTATGGTATAAAGGCATTTGCAACAATTGGATTTGCGGGTGGATAATAAGGATCCCAAAAAGGAAATAATGTGTGTAAAAAATAAGTAAAATATCATACAAACTATCAAAAATGAAATTAACTAAACAAAATCAACCTGCTTTTCTGTAAAATTACAAACTCTAATCAGGTCCCTACACAGGCTCAGAAGGACATTTCCTAGCGACGGTAGTCCTTGCCATGCTTCTGCCGCGAAGTCTTGGAGCCCAAAAAACGTATCGGCTGCAGATATGATCCAACTTCTTAGACACTTGTGCTGTACAATTAATCACTGTGACTATAAATGCTACGAAATTCACCTTTACAAGGAGTGTATCCAGAACACTTGACTGACTTTAAACATTAGCAACTGGTTGCAATGCATCCACCGCCATATATTCTTCAACACTGTGGCTTCTTGCCCCTTCGACTCGCTTCACCGCCTCCACATAGGAGATCTGCTGTACAACCCTGATCCTTGACACCTTGACCTCTTTCACCCTAACAGGGCAGTTGCAACATTTTCCATTCACAGATTCTTCAATACCATACTTCTCCCGTCTGCAAACATTTGACACATGACCATATCTTTTACAATTCCCACACTGTAATGGTTTGTGCAGAAATGCTCTCGCCGCATACCTCACATATCCAAGCTTCACATGTTCAGGTAGTCTCCTCAATCATCAATATCGATAGGCTTTTCTCTTTCCTTCCATTTACCATACGGGTTAGGCGACGTGCACTGACCATTCTTGGGATTTTCTGAATAAGGTACTCCTCATCTATATCTAACAATACTCCAGCTATAACTCATTTGTAAGGCGCCCTTCTCCGAAGAGCTTAATTAAATGGGTTTCCAAGGCCGAGCAGCCGCACACAAGCCTAAGATCACCATACGCAATGCCAAGCATCGGCTGGCAGTGCCCATCATTTTGGAATGAGATGTTCGACTAGCAGGTGTCCACATACTTTTGGTCATGTAGTGTATCAACAGAGAAATACTTTTTAACCAAGTTTTACTATCCATTTCATGGTGTGTATTAATAAGCCTAAACAACAAGGATATTGATGGAGAATGTTGGAAGCCATCTTACAGAAGGTTAGGTTGACCTAATACTGCCTCCAAGAGATGTTCCAAAAAGGCTATTAATTCAGCAAGAGATGCGCTAGAAATTGTGTTTAAAGACTGTTTGCAGAAGAGCTTCAGTAGTGGAGTGTATTTATACTCCCAAAGTTGTACACTAATAGTTTTTATATACTTTTTACTTTCCATTTTTATTTTAGATTGTAGCTAAATTTTGAGTTGAGTGTTAATAAAGTTGCTTTTAATTGTTCATTATCATTGTTTGTTTCTTTCTGTATCTCTTACCACAAACTTTAACCTCCATCATGTACACCTTTATTTAACCTGGCATTTCAATTAAGAGCACATTATTATTTACAAGGCTGCCTGGACCTTCACACCTGGGCCACACACACCTCATACACACAGGTAAAACTCACAGTCAACAGTTTAGACTACCAACATCTTACTGGCAATGCTTATTGTTTAGCTAAATACTCAAACATCAGACATTGTTCACCAAACAAGGTAGTAATGTAAAACTGCACACTACCGCAATCTGACATTGAAATGCTTATTGTCTGGCTAACTACTGAGTAGTGATGTACATGTGAAAGGCTGTACGGTGGAACTTTTTGGTTTTTAGGTTTTATTTATTCGCACCAAAGAAAAGAAGTGAAAGACAAAACAGTGCAGATAAAAACAAATGGTAAAAACATTGTGCAGGTGAGTTTGGAAGCCCAAAAGGGCGGATATGAAAACCACACCATAAATATAAGTACAAAAACAAAACCTTGGTTCAATCAGTTAAACAAAGCATATTCATTATAATTGTACATGATATACTCAGTATACAAGAAAAAACATGTTTGATTATGTGTGTGAGTGTGAGAGTTACATGGAGGGGATTATTGGGTAGCTTGGTTCATCAGGCTGACTGACCCTCAGTCTTCGCTTGAAGTTATTGAGGGATGATGAGGTTTTGGCAATGTGAAGATAAGAATTCCAGAGTATGGTACCTCTGTTTCTGATAGAGAATTGACTATGTGAGGTGCGGCAGTGGGGAGGGTAAAGTTTATCGCAGTGTCTTGTGTTATATAGATGTATTTCAGAATTAACCTGGAAGAATCCATTGAAGGGTTTAGGTAAACTGTCTGGGAGGTATGAGTATTTGTAGATGAAAGTGTATAATTGGCGTACATTAATGTCGTAAATAGACAAGATATTGAGTTTCTTAAACAAAGGTGCAGATCGAGCCAGGTAATTAGAGGTGGTGGCTAGTCTTGCAAATGTATTTTGTATGAGTAATTTAGGTTTAGGTTTTTAGGTTTAGGTACAATGCATTCGGAAAGTATTCAGACCCCTTGACTTTTTCCACATTTTGTTACGTTTCCCTCATCAATCTCCACACGATACCCCATAATGACATAGTGAAAACAGGTTTTTAGAAATGTTTGCAAATGTATTAAACATTTTTAAAACAGAAATACCTTGTGTGTCATGTGTGCGGCCCTTAATGATGCTGCGGCCTTCCTCAGGCACTTTTTTGAGTAGATGTCCTGGGTGGGTGGGATCACGGTCCCAGTGATGTACTGGGCCGATTTCACCACCTGCTGGAGGGCCTTGTGGTCTTGGACGGAGCAATTCCTGTACCAGGCCGTGATGCAACCGGTCAGGACTCTCTCGATGGTGCAGCGGTAGTATTTGGAGAGGACCCTGGGCAAAATGCCACATTTCTTCAGCCGCCTTAGGAAGTAGAGACGTTGTTGCGCCCTCTTGACAAGAGTGGTGGTGTTGTTGGTCCATGACAAGTCCTCGTGATGTGGGTGCAGAGGAACATAAAACTTGTGACTCTCTCTACTGCAGTCCCGTTGATGTGGATCGGGGCATGTTCCCTCCTCTGCTTCCTGAAGTGAACAACTCCTTTGTTTTGCTGACATTGAGGGAGAGGTTGTTGTCATGACACCACAATGCCAGTTCACTTACCTCCTCCCTATAGGCTGACTCGTCGTTGTTGGTTATTAGGCCTACAACCATGGTGTTGTCAGCAAACTTGATGGAGTTGGTGTCGTGCAAAGCCACGCAGTCTAGAACCAAAAAGGGTTCTTCGGCTGTCTCCATAGGAGAACCCTTTGAATAAACCCTTTTGGTTCCAGGTAGAACCCTTTTGGTTCCAGGTAGAACCCTTTTGGGTTCCATGTATAACCCTTTCCACAGAGGGTTCTACATGGAACCTAAAAGAGTTCTACCTGGAACCAAAAAGGGTTATCCTATGGGGACAGCCCAGAACCCTTTTGGAACCCTTTTTTCTAAGAGTGTGCCCGTCAGGAAGTCCAGGATCTAGTTGCTGAGGGTGGTGTCCAGACCCAGGGCTCTGAGCTTGGTGTCGAGCTTTGAGGGAACAATAGTGTTGAATGCTGAACTGTAGTCAATGAACAGCATTCTCACATAGGTGTTCCTCTTGTCCAGATGTGTTACGGCCGTGTGAATAGTGATGGAAATGGAATCTCCTTGTCTTTCCACAGATGTTGACACCACCAAGGACCCCTGTCAGAAGGTGAAGTGTAGCCGAAACAAGGTGTGTATCGCCCAGGGATACCAGAGGGCTGTGTGTGTCAACCGCAAGAAGCTCGAGCACAGGTGAGTGTGTGTAGCCTCCAGGCAAGATGGTTGGCGATTCTGACTTCACATGCACTCAGAGATAGATGCGTGAACACACACTCACCACACACACTAAACACATGCGTGCACACATACTCACGTAAGCACTCATGCGCACACCATCACATACAAACGCACGCACACACACACACACACACACACTGTGGCCTCCAAGGACTAGCGATTGGTATCATACCCCAGTCAATGGTAATTCTAAGGTTAGTGAATGAAATTCTACTTCTATGGTTAGTGCCCTAACAGTAAAGTGTGTTTTCTTAATAAATCTCTCCCTCATTACAGCTTGATGTTTAATGACACTGCTGTGTTGTAGACCACAGGAGGCTGCTGAGGGGAGGATGACTCATAATAATGGCTGGAACGGAGTGACGTTCCAGCCATTACCACGAGCCCGTCCTCCCCAATTAAGGTGCCACCAACCTCCTGTGCTGTAGACAGATGATTAAGCACCTCTAGGTGTACTGGTACAGTTACTGTACGTTGCTAGCTCTGTAAACACCCTGTGGTTGTTGTGATAGCATCCTATGGATGGATCCTCAGGACATGTCTGTGGATGTGTTACCAGGTAGAAAACTTCCATCAAAGTACATTATCCTAACACAAGCTTTCACAAAATATCATATTGTCACGCGCTGACGTATGGAACTCTTGTTTGTTGAGTCAGGGTGTGGGAAATCTATGTTGTATATTCTATGTTGATGTTCTAGTGATTCTATTTCTATGTCTGGCCGGGTATGATTCCCAATCAGAGGCAGCTGTCGCTCATTGTCTCTGATTGGGGATACTTAGGTAGCCAATTGCTTACTGTGTATTGTGGGATCTTGTTCCGTGTAGGCTTGTATGTGTATAGCCGGAGGACTTCACGTTACGTTGTTTCTTGTTTTGGTTGTATGTTTATTGAGTTAATAAACATGTATGCTTTTCACGCTGCACCTTGGTCTGACCCGTCTCTCAACGATCGTGACACATATAAATATGTAGATTTATTATGAGATAGAATTCGAAGCCAAACTGATGTATGCAACACATTTCACTGTAATGTTGCAAGTGGAAAATACACTGAACAAAAATATACACGCTACATTTATAGTGTTGGTCCCATGTTTCATGAGCTGAAATAAAATGTTCCACATGCACAAAAAGCGTATTTCTCTCAAATTATTTGCAGAAATGTGTTTATATCCCTGTTAGTGAGCATTTCTCCTTTGCCAAGATAATCCATCCATCTGACAGGTGTGGAATATCAAGAAGCTGATTAAACAGCATGATCATTACACGTGCACCTTGTGCTGGGGACAATAAAGGCCACGCTAAAATGTGCAGTTTTGTCACACAACGCCACAGATGTCTCAAGTTTTGAGGGCGTGTGCAATTGGCATGCTGACTGCAGGAATGTCCACCAGAGCTGTTGCCAGAGAATTTAATGTTAATTGTCATAAGCCGCATCCAACGTCGTTTTAGAGAATTTGGCAGTACGTCCAACTGGCCTCACAACCGCAGACCATGTGTAACCACGCCAGCCCGGGACCTCTACATCCGGCTTCTTCACCTACGGGATCGTCTGAGACCAGCAACCCGGACAGCTGATGAAACTGAGGAGTATTTCTGTCTGTAATGAAGCCCTTTTGTGGGGAAAAACTCATTTTGATTGGCTGGGCCTGACTCCTAAGTGGGTGTGCCTATGCCCTCCCAGGCCCACCCATGGCTGCGGCCCTGCCCAGTCATATGAAATCCATAGATTAGGGCCTAATGAATTTATTTCAGTTGACTGATTTCCTTCTATGAACTGTAACTCAGTAAAATCGTTGAAATTGTTGTATGTTGCATTTATATTTTTGTTCAGTATACATTATTGTAGCCACCAAGCCATTGGAAGCATTATAGAACCTCTTTGTCCTCTGTGTCCTAAGTAAAGCAGCCTGCTCAACTACTCTGTGTGTGTGTGCGTGCGTGCGTGTGTGTGTGTGTGTGTTTGCATGTGCGCTCTGTAGACTGAAGCAGCCCGCCCTGAGGTCTCCTGAAGGAGGATGTCAGCCCTGTCCCATCTCCTCCTCTGGTCCTGTGTGTGGCTCTGACGGACACAACTACGCCTCACAGGTACAGCAACACATACACACACACATAGTGACAAGTCACAATTTTCAAATATTTCTCTCAAATTAGCCTTTAGATGAATCGAGCTTAGTCATTTAATTTCCCTTTTCCTATTCAACATATCATTCTCAACAAGGTCAGAGACAGACAAAGCATAAATCTATAGAAACACATGGGAGATATGCGTCACCACAACAACCCTCTGTTCCTCTGAGGCTATTTATCACAGCCCTTTGTCTTTGGGTTGTATATCTATGGAGGCTGTCCACACTGTTAACCTCTAACTATATCTGTATATCTCTGGAGGCTGTCCACACTGTTAACCTCTAACTATATCTGTATATCTCTGGAGGCTGTCCACACTGTTAACCTCTAACTATATCTGTATATCTCTGGAGGCTGTCCACACTGTTAACCTCTAACTATATCTGTATATCTCTGGAGGCTGTCCAAACTGTTAACCTCTAACTATATATGTATATCTCTGGAGGTTGTCCACACTGTTAACCTATAATCTGAATATCTCTGGAGGCTGTCCACATTTTGAAAACCTCTTACTGTATCTGAAGCATTATGTACAAGCTCTAGATCCAAGAGAATCAAGAACACAACAGCCGTGTTGTAATTCACTGATAATAAACACAAAACACAGAGAAACATAGCCTGATAAGAGGTGTGTGCGTGTGCGTGTGTGTGTGTGTGTGTGTGTTGCAGTGTAAACTGGAGCAGCAGGCGTGTCTCACAGGGAAGGAGTTGACTATGAAGTGTTCAGGTCTTTGTCCTTGTCCAACCACAGAGACAGAGGTCAAGCATGGTGAGTACACACACACACACACACACACACACACACACACACACACACACACACACACACACACGCACACGCACGCACACACACAAAACTGCAATGCTATACAATAATTCCCCCCCCCACTCTATCTCTCCCTCTCTCCCCCATAGAGAGTTGTACAGGGCAGGACCTGTCTGATCTGGGGGACAGGCTGAGGGATTGGTTCCAGCTGCTGCAGGGCAACGCTAAGCTGAACAACAACAGCAAGACTGGAGCCAGCAACACAGCAGGGGCTAACTCTGGATCAGGTAAGAGATAGATGGTACAGGTTCAGAGCCTGTGATTTAGCAGTATACTCCTCTCCCCACTGCAGGTCGTGGTTCAAACACAGCTTCAACCCTTTAATCTGGTTATCCCACCTTATCTGTCATTTCATAACTGTCTCAATAAAGTAAAGTAGAGTTAGTATAGGGCCAGCACTGCATCACATAAGAGTTAAATAGGTCCAGCACTGCATCAGGTAAGAGTTAAATAGAACCAGCACTGCATCAGGGAACAGTTAAATAGGGCCAGCACTGCATCAGGTAAGAGTTAAATAGGGCCAGCACTGCATCAGGGAACAGTTAAATAGGGCCAGCACTGCATCAGGTAAGAGTTAAATAGGGCCAGCACTGCATCAGGTAAGAGTTAAATAGGGCCAGCACTGCATCAGGGAACAGTTAAATAGGGCCAGCACTGCATCAGGTAAGAGTCTAATAGGGCCAGCACTGCATCACATAAGAGTTAAATAGGGCCAGCACTGCATCACATAAGAGTTAAATAGGGCCAGCACTGCGTCAGGTAAGAGTTAAATAGGGCCAGCACTGCATCAGGGAACAGTTAAATAGGGCCAGCACTGCATCAGGTAAGAGTTAAATAGGGCCAGCACTGCATCAGGGAACAGTTAAATAGGGCCAGCACTGCATCATGTAAGAGTTAAATAGGGCCAGCACTGCATCAGGGAACAGTTAAATAGGGCCAGCACTGCATCAGGTAAGAGTCTAATAGGGCCAGCTCTGCATCACATAAGAGTTAAATAGGGCCAGCACTGCATCAGGGAACAGTTAAATAGGGCCAGCAACATGTCAGATGCAACATTGTGTATATTCTCATTTATTTTCAAATCTAATGATATTTGGAGTTACTGTAATCCTGACCTCTACCACTGTTATGAATATTTGATCTGTCTGTTATAACTAATTCCTCCTCCCCTTTTCACTGTGTGTGTGTGTGTGTGTGTGTGTGTGTGTGTGTGTGTGTGTGTGTGTGTGTGTGTGTGTGCTTGCATGTGCGTGTGTGTCTGAACATGTGTGTGCTTGCCAGCTTGTGTGCGTGCTTGTGTCTCTGTGTGTATCTCTCTGTAATATGTGTGTATCTCTCTCTCTGTCTGTAGTCCTGGACAGGAGTGTGGTGGCTAGCTGTAAGGACTCTTTAGGCTGGATGTTCTCTAATCTGGACACCAACAGTGATCTGTATCTGGACCAGGCCGAGCTGGCAGCCATTAACTTGGACAAGTATGAGGTCTGCATCCGATCCTTCTTCAACTCCTGTGACTCCTACAGGGACGGGAAGGTGTCTACGGCCGAGTGGTGCCTCTGCTTCTGGAGAGAGAGTGAGTATACTTTGGGGAAAGGGGTGTGTCTGTGTGTGTGTGTGTGTGTGTTTGTGAGAGTGAGGCGACAAGGTCTGCACCGTTGCCTGGTAACTCTGTTTCTGGAGAGAGTGTGAATATGGGGGATATTGTTTGTGAAAATGGGGGGTGGGGTGCGTGTGTCCGTTCGTGTGTTTTTTCCATATGACCAGGCACTCAGAGTTCACTAGGTATAACAACCTCTATGTCCTCTCCTCTCTCCTCTCTCTCCTCTATCCCCTCTCTCCCCTCTCACGGTCTATCACAGTATGTCTTCCCCCTAGTTGTTTTTAGTTGCCCAGTGGTGGGGGAATGGCCACCGTGGTGCAGTAACAACATCACTGTAGCTTGTTGCCAGGATGGTCCTCCCACAGCTCTCACAGATTGTGTCTGTCAGCCAAGCAGCCGGCCAGAAACTAGACAAGGCCTGTGTTTACCATTGGACCCATGGCTGGAGCCACTATCTGCGTCCCAAATAGCACCATATGCCCTATATAGTGCACTACTTTTGGCCAGAGCCCATGAAAGTAGTGTGCTATATAGGGGATAGGGTGCCATTTTGGGTACAGACTCTGTCTCTAGTCCAAATCCACTGCATACCCTACAGAGGGAAGAATGTGAAGTGGCATATAAATCATGTATCATTTCAATGGGAGATTTGTGTGAATGTTCGACAGATTTTCTATGCCTATCTGAATTTTCTACGATTTGGCCAGTTGATTTCAGAGCTTCAGAGTTTAGCAAAAGACTTACCAATAAAAGCTCAACCCAATGTATTTGTGTGTGTGTGTGTGTGTGTGTGTGTGTGTGTGTGTGTGTGTGTGTGTGTGTGTGTGTGTGTGTGTGTGTGTGCGTGCGTGCATGCGCACGTGTGCATTAGTGTGTGTATGTGTATTGGAGTGATGTACTGAAGCGTTGGTGTCTCTCCCCCTCAGAGCCCCCCTGCCTGGCTGAGCTGGAGAGGATCCAAGTACAGGAGGGAGGCAAGAAGAAACTGGGTATTTATGATGTATTATCTGTTCCTGCATGATTCACATTTCCCAGATGTACATGTGGGCTTTGAGTTAGCATATCCTAGCGGTTAAGAGCGTTGGGCCAGTAACTGAAAGGTCGCTGGTTTAAATCCCCGAGCTGACTAGGTGAAAAATCTGATATGCCCTTGAGCAAGGCACTTAACCCTAATTGCTCTGAATAAGAGCGTCTGCTAAAATGTTAATTTAATGTGACAACGTGATAACGTGAAATCATGTGGTTAAACCAGTGTTTATGTGCACTGTGTGTGTGTGTGCATGTGTGAGGTTTTCTAGTTTGCGTGTTCGTGCGTGCATGACTGTGTGTGTGCTGCAGACTTGACTAGGCTGTGTATCAGGACTCTTAAAGGACACAGAGCTGGCCAGAGTATAGGAGAAACTCTGCCATTCTGATACTCGCACACAGTTCCATTGAAAGCCACTGACTCAGGGACAAGAGGGCTGCCTCAGCTGAGATAAATATGCCCCAATGCAACGTTAAGTTCACATTATTTACAGTAACCCTTTACACTTGTGGAAATTGGCCTATATGGATAGGGATACAGTCAAATGCTTCTTACAGAAGAAATATGAAAAGCACATGCGTAACCATGGTAGTAATTAAAAGGGAACAGTTTAAAGATAATGGGGAAATGATTAGACCAAAGGTGAGTACACAACAGTTTACCTGACACAAGACTGAATCCAAACATTACACTGTTGATTTTATGTGGATTTTACATTTACTGTTGTTTTCGCTGCATTTGTTGATAACAAAATCAGAAAATACTATGGATACATTCAGTAGCTTAATATTAAATGTGGGGTAGGAGAAACATACAACAAAAACATTTAAAGGGTTTGAGTGAGAGGACTAACTGGTGTCTCCAAGTGGCCACACACCTCTCCAAAGTGTGCACAGTTCCTAAGTCATTTCAATGCACTTTTATGACTCAAAGAGTCTTCAACTATAAGGTGTAGTTTTGAGCTCTCCTAGCTGTGCTGTTGAGGAACTAGAGCAGCACACTGGTAGTTGTTTTATTTGGAACACAGCCCTGCATCCCCTCCTTTACACAATTACTGGTGTTGTTTACGCAATCCAAAATGGTCCATTATAAATCACAATCTGGGTGGGCATGATTTGAAAGCTTGCTATTGCTTTCAAAAGGCAATTCAGAGAAACAGATGGTAATTTTGGTGCACATAGAAAGGAGTCATGAGTGCATTCAGATGCGTGGTCTGTGGAAAATGTTCTCCACAATAGACAAACATAGGCACATTCTGTTTAGAACAACCCAGGGTATGACGCCATGTCATCTTGTACCTATACATCAAACATAGTGATCATAACATTGACACTGTATATGACATGAGTTTTATGATATGGAATGTGAAGTGCACATTTGGACTCACAGGGTGTTTGTATGACATCAAAGCGGTATTTATTATAATCCTCAACGTCTCATCTTTCAAAATACATTGAGTAATCTTAATTTACAGCATTTCCCTAACTCAGACATAATTATTTTGGCAAAAGTTGCCCAATTACCGGAAGGGATGGGCCCACTTCTTGTCGCACGGTGCTCAAGTTCAGAATGGCTGTCAGTCAAAACCCATACAGCGCTGTTAAGCACAGAGCCAGAGCTCTGACATCATGTATAGCATGTTACTGTACAGCCATTACGTTCCAATTTAGGCAGTTATTAGTGCCCAAGTCTGCCATTTTCAACCCGTATACAGGTACGAGTGTAAAGGGTTAACACATTTTTCACCTTATTCTGCATTTACTTAGATAGAAGTGACATTCTATCCCAATTTCATCCCTTTTTGGGGAGCAATTTCTGTTCCTCAGTAGGATGCTGATAAAAGAGTGGTGCATATCTTATATTATAATAACCTACAATAAATGCTGATATACAGTGGGGGAAAAAAGTATTTAGTCAGCCACCAATTGTGCAAGTTCTCCCACTTAAAAAGATGAGAGAGGCCTGTAATTTTCATCATAGGTACACGTCAACTATGACAGACAAATTGAGATTTTTTTTCTCCAGAAAATCACATTGTAGGATTTTTAATGAATTTATTTGCAAATTATGGTGGAAAATAAGTATTTGGTCACCTACAAACAAGCAAGATTTCTGGCTCTCACAGACCTGTAACTTCTTCTTTAAGAGGCTCCTCTGTCCTCCACTCGTTACCTGTATTAATGGCACCTGTTTAAACTTGTTATCAGTATAATAGACACCTGTCCACAACCTCAAACAGTCACACTCCAAACTCCACTATGGCCAAGACCAAAGAGCTGTCAAAGGACACCAGAAACAAAATTGTAGACCTGCACCAGCCTGGGAAGACTGAATCTGCAATAGGTAAGCAGCTTGGTTTGAAGAAATCAACTGTGGGAGCAATTATTAGGAAATGGAAGACCTACAAGACCACTGATAATCTCCCTCGATCTGGGGCTCCACGCAAGATCTCACCCCGTGGGGTCAAAATGATCACAAGAACGGTGAGCAAAAATCCCAGAACCACACGGGGGGACCTAGTGAATGACCTGCAGAGAGCTGGGACCAAAGTAACAAAGCCTACCATCAGTAACACACTACGCCGCCAGGGACTCAAATCCTGCAGTGCCAGACGTCCAGGCCCGTCTGAAGTTTGCTAGAGTGCATTTGGATGATCCAGAAGAGGATTGGGAGAATGTCATATGGTCAGATGAAACCAAAATATAACTTTTTGGTAAAAACTCAACTCGTCGTGTTTGGAGGACAAAGAATGCTGAGTTGCATCCAAAGAACACCATACCTACTGTGAAGCATGGGGGTGGAAACATCATGCTTTGGGGCTGTTTTTCTGCAAAGGGACCAGGACGACTGATCCGTGTAAAGGAAAGAATGAATGGGGCCATGTACCGTGAGATTTTGAGTGAAAACCTCCTTCCATCAGCAAGGGCATTGAAGATGAAACGTGGCTGGGTCTTTCAGCATGACAATGATCCCAAACACACCGCCCGGGCAACGATGGAGTGGCTTCGTAAGAAGCATTTCAAGGTCCTGGAGTGGCCTAGCCAGTCTCCAGATCTCAACCCCATAGAAAATCTTTGGAGGGAGTTGAAAGTCTGTGTTACCCAGCAACAGCCCCAAAACATCACTGCTCTAGAGGAGATCTGCATGGAGGAATGGGCCAAAATACCAGCAACAGTGTGTGAAAACCTTGTGAAGACTTACAGAAAACGTTTGACCTGTGTCATTGCCAACAAAGGGTATATAACAAAGTATTGAGAAACTTTTGTTATTGACCAAATACTTATTTTCCACCATAATTTGCAAATAAATTCATAAAAAATCCTACAATGTGATTTTCTGGATTTCTTTTTCTCATTTTGTCTGTCATAGTTGACGTGTACCTATGATAAAAAATTACAGGCCTCTCTCATCTTTTTAAGTGGGAGAACTTGCACAATTGGTGGCTGACTAAATACTTTTTTCCCCCACTGTATTCTAAAGTGTCAGTGCTTAAGTCTCAGTAATCTTGTAAAGGTGAACTAGTCCAGATTCATAGCATGTGTGTCCTTGTTCTCTAGTTATTAGCCAGCCCTTTGGTGCAGCAGTAGTATGCTGACCATAGAATATTAGAATTACATTGCCATTCTATTTCTATGGTGCTGACTACACAGTTATTCCACTCCATCCCATGCCTTCTCAATGAATGGATTTGTATTCATGGAATAGGACATTTGAAATTGGCTGCAGCAAACAAATGCTGCATACATAAAGTATAATTTAAGCTACACTACACTTACACTGACCGTGATTAGGTATGATGGTTCGCCAGAACGTATAGCTGACTGGCCTAAGTAAGTCAAATTAAGTGTATATGATAACCTACACACATCATCAATTCAAATGCTTTTTAGATATGGATCTCTGGATTCAACAGAATGAATGAAGCAAAACCATAATTCACAATGACAATTGTTTTATTTACAAATAGCCTGGTTCTCCAACAAAATGATACAAAATAATAAGCACCAAAGAAGGCAAATAACAACAACAAAAAGGCCTGAATGAACAATGCAGTAAGGACCCGTCCAGTGCAGTGCCATGGGGAGGTATGCCAGTTTAAAGGTGCTCTCTGTTCTGAAGTGTTGCATAGCAGTCATAGCAGTGTGGTTGAAGGTGGCGATGCCTCTCAGATACTCCTCCAGTGGTTTATTCTGGTAGTCCTCCACGAGTCGCTTCAATTCCTGCTGCCGGCTGCGCACGTGACACAACTTTAGTGGATGTAGAATACCAGCGAGTTCCTGCTCCCTCTGTAGTGACGTCCTATGTTGTTGTAGTTGCAAGGCATTGAGGAACTGGCAAATTGTGGGTTGTGTCACTGTAGTATCGGTAAGACGCCCCACAAACGACTGACACCATCCCTTTGTGACGTTATTGGTCTTCCCCATGTCCTTCAGGACAGCATCGTAGTAGTTCCACATTTCTGTAATCAAAAGATAGAAACATGTTAGACACCCATTTGCTGTTGTCATCAACCTTGTTGCAATAGCCTATCATACTAACATTATACTAACATAGCATATTATACTAACATTATTATTAGTATATAATTATTAACCTATTTGTAGGGCTTATTTGTTAGCCTATTTAGTGTTATTAGTAGTATAACATTGTGTGGCCCAATAACATTATTGGCCTAAAGACATCCAGACAAGGACATACCTATGGTAAATTCCGGTGCTCTTCTTCGGCTTCTTTGACCCTTTCCCATTGGGCGCCCAATCCATGTGTCCTCAAAGTCGGCCACAAATGTGGACAACGCTGGGTCCTGAAAGACCAGAGTTTCCTCCATCTCCTTGAAACATCTCATCATATCAGCGGACGGGACAAATGCGAGCGTGTGGAGCATCTAGAGGGCGAAGTCGGGGTCGCTGCTGTACTTTGATGCCACCTTAGGACAGCGGGACAGTTACCCTCTGAAGAGTGGACCCAGATGGAAGAAGCAACCCCGGTTGTAGACACCCCGGAAACACATTCTTGAAGGCCTTTACGGGAGCTGCTGGCTCGAAGTCAGTCAAGACAGATTCTGGCTTCAGATCCGGGTTCAATTTCTTCAGTTCCTGGAACGCACAACTGTATGCAACGAAAAGAAAATAGGATGTTAGATTGCATTTCCACCTCAAATATATATTTTTTAAATTAACTTAATTTATGTTTTTGAATGCATCACTCCCTGAAACTACCCATTTCCACTAGCATTGCTACGTTCTCCAAAAATGCTAGCCAGATTCGTATTGTTATTCTGGACCTTCCTAAATAACTAGCTAACACACATTCTAAAAACTGTTGGGAGGAAATATCCACAGCCCAGGGAAGTCGAAAAGAAGCAAAACTATCCTTTTAAAACAACATTAATATGCTAGTAAATGATTATACCTAGGCCTACCTCAGACCTATCGGGCAGCATACTAATGGCTGCTACAAGCACAGTCTCCTGTCGCATATCCCGTCAATATGTGACCATCCCGTGGATGGTGTACACCTGCTGGAACGGAGGTGGGACCTTATTGAATGTTCCATTGGCAAACCAGTGCTCGCAGTCACACATTAATTCCAAGTTGTCTTTAGTTGTGAAGATCAGAATCCTGTCTGGGCCTGGCCCACTGTCGTGCTGAAGAAACAGCTCTCCATGATGTGTAGTATGGTAGATCTCAGGTATGACCAGGTTGGAGAGGGTTGCCGGGCCTCCCCCCGTCGTGCTCCCCACCTGAGGGATGACTGGATCCACTTCAGGGGTGACAGGATTGGGGAGACTTGCAGGTCCAACCTGGTCTCCACCAGCTGCCATGCCATGGCTCCCAGGGACTGTAGCCGGTACCTGCATCTGCTCTTCTTTGTTCTTTTGCCTGTGCCTCTGTATACAGATTTTGAAGTTATTTTCTGAGGGCAAATCATGCCTGACAACATCTGACATGGCCGGTGTAGCAGACTCCAAAACGTGCAGTGTGCTTTCCTTGGTCTCCAAACTCCTCTTTTTCATGTTGTTCAGTACAATAAAATAAAATAAAATAAAATTGTATTTGTCACATGTGCCGAATACAACCTTACCGTGACATGCTTACTTACAAGCCCTTAACCAACAATGCAGTTCAAGAAAGAGTTAAATAGTCCGGGTGGCCATTTGATTAATTGTTCAGTAGTCTTATGGCTTGGGGGTAGAAGCTGTTAAGGAGCAATTTGGTCCTAGACTTGGCGCTCCGGTACCGCTTGCCGTGCGGTAGCAGAGAGAACAGTCTATGACTTTGGTGAATGGAGTCTTTGACAATTTTTTGGGCCTTCCTCTGACACCACCTAATATATAGGTCCTGGATGGCAGGAGGCTTGGCCCCAGTGATGTACTGGGCCGTACGCACTACCCTCTGTAGCGCCTTGCGGTCAGTTGCCGAGCAGTTGCCATACCAGGCGGTGATGCAACCGGTCAGGATGCTCTCGATGGTGCAGCTGTATAACTTTTTGAGGCTCTGGGGACCCATGCCAAATCTTTTCAGTCTCCTGAGTGGGAAAAGGTGTTGTCGTGCCCTCTTCATGACTGTCTTGGTGTGTTTGGACCATGATAGTTTGTTGGTGATGTGGACACCAAGGAACTTGAAACTCTCGACCCGCTCCACTACAGCCCTGTCGATGTTAATGGGGGCCTGTTCGGCCCGCCTTTTTCTCTAATCCACGATCAGCTCCTTTGTCTTGCTCACATTGAGGAGAGGTTGTTGTGTCTCTGACCTCCTTCCTATAGGCTGTCTCATCGTTGTCGGTGATCAGGCCTACGACTGTTGCGTCGTCAGCAAACTTAATGATGGTGTTGGAGTCGTGTTTGGCTTTGCAGTCGTGGGTGAACAGGGAGTACAGGATGGGACTAAGCACGTACCAGTGTTGAGGATCAACGTGGCAGATGTGTTGTTGCCTATCCTTACCACCTGGGGGCGGCCGTCAGGAAGTCCAGGATCCAGTTGCAGAGGGAGGTGTTTAGTCCCAGGCTCCTTAGCTTAGTGATGAGCCCTGTGGGCACTATGGTGTTGAACGCTGAGCTGTAGTCAATGAACAGCATTCTCACATAGGTGTCCAGGTGGGAAAGGGCAGCGTGGAGTGCGATTAAGATTGCATCATCTGTGGATCTGTTTTGGCGGTATGCGCTTCCGGGATGATGGTGTTGATGTGAGCCATGACCAGCCTTTCAAAGCACTTCATGGCTACCGACGTGAGTGCTACGGGGCAGTAATCATTTAGGCAGGTTATCTTCGCTTCCTTAGGCGCAGGGACTATGGTGGTCAACTTAACGTCAACAAAACAAAGGAGATGATCGTGGACTTCAGGAAACAGCAGAGGGTGCACCCCCCTATCCACATCGACAGGACCGCAGTGGAGAAGGTGGAAAGCTTCAAGTACCTTGGCATACACATCACTGACAAACTGAAATGGTCCACCCACGCAGACAGTGTGGTGAAGAAGGCGCAACAGAGCCTCTTCAACCTCAGCAGGCTGAAGAAATTTGGCTTGGCACCTAAAACCCTCACAAACTTTTACAGATGCACAATTGAGAGCATCCTGTCGGGCTGTATCACAGCCTGGTACGGCAACTGCACCGCCCACAACCGCAGGGCTCTCCAGAGGGTGGTGCGGTCTGCCGAATGCATTACCGGGGGCAAACTACCCGCCCTCCAAGACACCTACAGCACCCGATGTCACAGGAAGGCCAAAAAGATCATCAAGGACATCAACCACCCGAGCCACTGCCTGTTCACCCCGCTATCATCCAGAAGGCAAGGTCAGTACAGGTGCATCAAAGCTGGGACCGAGAGAATGAAAAACAGCTTCTATCTCAAGGCCATCAGACTGTTAAATAGCCATCACTAGCACATTAGAGGCTGCTGCTCCCTATTGAAATCACTGGCCACTTTAAGAAATGGAACACTAGTCACTTTGGTAATGTTTACATATCTTGCACTACTCATCTCATATGTATATACTGTATTCTATTTTATAATATTCTACTGTATCTTAGTCCATGCCGCTCTGTCATTGCTTGCCCATATATGTATATATTCTTAAATGTGTGTGTATTGTGTATATGTTGTGAAATTGTTAGATATTACTTGTTAGATATTACTGCACTGTCGGAGCTAGAAGCACAAGCATTTCGCTACACCCGCAATAACATCTGCTAAACACGTGTATGTGACAAATAAAATTTGATTTGATTTGCTTGAAACATGTAGGTATTACAGACTCGATCAGGGAGATGTTGAAAATGTCAGTGAAGACACTTGCCAGTTGGTCCGGGCATGCTTTGAGTACATGTCAGACTGCTATCTGCTTTCCGTCCGGGATGTGGTTGTGGTCTCCCGACAACTGGGAGATAACCACGAGTATGAGTACGAATTGTACTCTGTACATTTCCAGAAGGATATGTTGGCCATATCTCATTCTTTTCTGTAGGTGTAGCCCCCATGCACCAGGATTCTGTTTCCACGCACAGAGAGGACAAAGTTAGGTTCCATTGTAGCTCCTTCTTGGGGACCTCCTCATAAATGAATGACTGCTGAGGAAAGGGGTGCTATATTTGTACAAAATCTTGGGGTTATTAGCATACCAGTGATTTGCAGGTCTATTGTTGGACTATCAAGTTCCAAAACTGCAGTTTGTTTTTACAATCATGTGACAAGTAGTTTTTTTTTTCTATGTTAAAAAAAAATCTTCTAATACAAACCACTAAATGTTTTCTTAAATTAATCAAACCATAGGATCATTAATAGTCTGTAATACAAACACTAATTATTTTATATGTAACAGAGTAGGCTATGATAATTTAACATCACATACACCAAAATGCAAACATATATTTATTCTGTCTAAAAAAGCATGTGTGCCTCCATATGTAATATCATCTTTGTGTGTGTGTGTGTGCATGTCAGGCTTGTTTATCCCTAGCTGTAATGAGGATGGATACTACAGGAAGCTGCAGTGTGATCAGGCCAGGGGAGAATGCTGGTGTGTCGACCAACAGGGAGGGGAACTAGCCAGCTCCAGAATCCATGGCAACCCCGACTGTGGTAAGAGACAATCAGGGTTCAATTGCTGAACCCCCCTGGCACACACTCAGTATAGAACCCCACTCACATACTTAGTAGGCTACAGACCACCACACACAATCAGTATTGATACCCATACACAGTTAGCAGACACTCTTATCCAGAGCGACTTACAGTAATGAGCAGTGTTGTGTTCGAGATCACCTAAGGCGAGACAGATTCAAGACCAAGACCGGAGGAAATTGAGTCCGAGTCAAGACCAAGACCGGAGGGGGACAAGGGGTCCAAAACCGAATCAAGACAGAGACCAGAAAAATGCGAGTCCAATTCAAGACCATGATTGTAATTTTGTCAAATCACCACCATAATAAGAGTTCAAAATATCCAGTATTTCTGTGTTCATATTTCAGAAGAACATATGGATTCTTTAGACAGTTAGAATGGTGAAAAGAATGCATGCTGAGGGCAAATAGAGCCAATCTACAAATTATTACTAACCCAAACACAGTGGTGAACAATGAGGGTATTCTATGAAGGGCTAAGGATTTATAAAATAATAATAACAATAATAATTTTTATGATATTATTCTTTTCAATTATGTTCTGATTGAATCTCTTCAGTTTTTGTTGGAAAGGAAAGGGTTAATGCTGAAGATAAAAAAATATCCAATCAGGATTTTTCTTTGGTCATCTCTTGGGAGATAAACCTATCTAGCTATGTAAGTCAGCCATTGGCTAGTCCATCAGAAACTTGATAGAAGGCATCTGCCATTCAACTGTTTTAGGGCAAAATGTTGGAGTGACAGTGGAATCAACCAATCACATTTTGACTTGTAATGGGTGGGACCGTCTTTACACGGTCTAGCTAGTTATCTTTTGTTGTAGCCTAGTTTGCAGCGGCTGCAGCAGGTGTTATCGAAGAGGATGTTGTTGCTAATTTGTTAGCTTCTCCCTTTTCATTAATAGCTTTAAACAAGAAGTTAACCTTTTACTGCAGTGGGCTAAATCAGGGCCACACAGAGTGGTTCTTGGTAGTCTTAAAGAAATCTACTTTGAAACAAAAGTATACACCTCACACACATGGTTATGGGCTTACAAAAAAGAAGACACCTGTACGATGTCAGATATAGAGTTGAAATGTATTCAATTTTTAGTTTGCATCCCAATATTACACTTTATATACATCACAGACGACTGAAATATAACAAAACTGTTTAACATAGAAACACCGGGTTTTTTGAAAAAATCTTTATTAATTATGAAATTATGAAAAATATTAATAACATTCCACCCATGAGGCCAAAGAGGGCGCTTTTGTTCATTGACAGCAGTAAAGGGTTGTTTCAAATTATCATCATCTGGTGAGTGGAACTATGTTTTTTGTAATAATAATTTATTATTTTTTAGTTTTTGCTCAATCTCATTGGGTGGGCCTAGCAGGGCCTGGCTCCCAGGTGGGTGGGCCTGTGTCCACCCAAGCCCACTCATGCCTGTGCCCCTGATGCAAACAGCTCATGATGACTGAATTGCACATCACAAATAGCCTACTAACCAAGATTTCGGACCAAACTTTGTCAATACCTGGTTTGCATACCCATTGTTGCCTTAGTTAGCATTTACTGGTAGATGTCATAAGTTGAAACGTCTTTCCTACCTACCGGCTACTGAGAGCTGCGCGCTCTTGCTGCCTGCAGATGATATTCCGCTGAAACTAGGCTATGTGTGCGGAGCGCATGTGAATATATTTCACCTACTTTGTGATTGTGTAGGCTACTTTGTGCATGATTTCTCTATTGTACTACATAATGGATAATTGGGGCGGCAGGTAGCCTAGTGGGTAAGAGCGTTGGGCCAGTAACCGAAAGGTCGCTGGTTTGAATCCCCAAGCAGACTAGGTGAAAAATCTGTTGCTGTGCCCTTGAGCAAGGCACATAACCTCAATTGCTCCTGTAAGTCGCTCTGGATAAGAGTGTCTGCTGATAGGTATATACCTCCACTATGCTACTTTGATACGCATCAATGGGGATTAAGAAGTGAGTATATGCAGTGCCACATTCAAATCATGTTATCAGGGATCATTTGCATTCTAAAGGGCTGCTTGTCGCTGAGAGAAAAGTATTTCAAGATAAAATGGTCACCTGGCTGGACGGAACCTGCTGCTGATTAGAATGGTTCCTGCGGCAGGGTTCAGAAACAGCCATTAAAACCCAGACAAAGTCAAACAAATACCCTTTACTTCACCTCTTTCAATGTTTGTTTTAAACAAATGTATTTCAGTGTTTTTTTCCCATCGGATTAAATGGATGGAATTGATCAATACAGGGAACAGAAGTGTGAATGAAGTATCATATTTGGATACAGATACATTGGTTAATTCAATCTCTCACTTCCTTCTCTTCTCATCACTCTGTCTGTCTGTCTCGCTCTCTCTCTCTGTCTCTCTCTCTGTCTGCCTCTCTCTGTCTGTCTGTCTCTCTCTCTGTCTCTCTCTGTCTCTCTCTGTCTGTCTCTCTCTCTGTCTGTCTCTCTCTCTGTCTCTCGCTCTCTCTCTCTCTCTCTCTCTCTCTGTCTCTCTCTCGCTCTGTCTCACCCTCTTTTCCAGATGAGGCGGTGGCATATTCAGGTGATTTTGGCAGTGGGGTCGGATGGGAGGATGAGGAAGATAAAGAAGCGGAGGAGAATGCAGAGGAGGAGGAAGGAGAGGTGGGAGAGGCAGATGATGAAGGATATATTTGGTGAAGAAAACAATGAAGTCTAGCTGGTCCAACATTACTACCGGAGCATCTCAACTTCTCTCTCGCTCTCTTACACACACACACAAATACACACACACACACACACACACACACACAAATAATGATCCTGAAAACCTCAAGAGATGGACACAATTTCAAAAATTGGTGGGGGGTTGGAGAGTGGGGGGGGGGGGGGGGGGGGGGGGGGGGGGGGGGGGGTGACAATGTGGGATATCAATAGCTAGAAACTGTGGTCTGACAAGTCAGGAGATGTGTCCTAAATCCTTGTGAATATCTTTGTTCTTTTTTCTGTTGTATGTGCAAGACAACTTTCTCCTGGATAAGTTTTTAGCAGCTGAACATTTAAAGTTAACCTCCAGCTGCTTCCTGCCTTTATGTGCTCATGTTAGGAACTGGATGTGCTTTTGGGTGCTTCTCAATTAGTAAAAAGTGGCTTCCTCCCATTGGCTCCTATCCTTTATTTCCTTCTTTCTCTGCGCTGATATGAAAGAACTGGACAGGTAAAAACCCATTTCCGTCAGGCTTTCGCCTTACTGTTTTCACCAACCCAGTGCTTTCAGATCAGTGCAGAAGGAGAGGAGATGAGGAGAGGAATCCACTTTATACTCATTGTCTATTCCTATTGCATAATTTAACTATCCCCATTCCATCCCGTATGCTTCAGCTCACCTATGACAGTAGTGCTCTGTCTCAAGTCTAGTAAAATAAAGTTTCTCACTCTACACTCCTATATGTGAGTAAGTGTGTCTGAAGACAGATTTGTCACTATTATTATTATTAGTTCTGTATTGCTAATGCCTTGAGATACTGGCAGACAGTACTGCTTGATTGACAAGTGTCCATTGTATCATCTGTGGATCAACATTGTGTTTAATAATAAAATACATTGGTTCTATGTGGCCCTACCAGGCCACCATACTCCTCTGTCATATTGTCCTCTCCTTAATCTCGGTTTCCCAGAAGTAAAATTATTGCAAAAGTTGTCACTGCCCGTTCTCTCCGTTTACACGTGAATCTGTCCATGAGCGATTATCCACTCCTTGGCCTTTTGTCCACTCCACTCCGTACTGTTGTTCTGTTGTGTCCAGCAGTTCAGTTCACTTCCATTTTTCTGCAGCTTCTGAAGCTTACATCAATAGGAGGCTAGCAAACATATGTTACACTGTGTGTAATAAATGTACATTGTATGTGAAAAATGTAGCTGAAACAGAATCCAGGCTGTATATCGCACACCTGCAATTCTAAAAACACAATAGCATAAAGAGGCCCATTCTACCCAGCGTCTTGAAGGCATTTCTCAGCTCCTTTCCCTGTAAACTACTACCATGTAAACCAGTAACCATGGCGCTTTATGTTGTCATAGGTTTAGTATGAGCCTTCATAGCTTTCTAAACCCTGTTAAGCTCTACTGTCTGGCAATGTACTTTTTAAAATGGAAAAGTAATCAATCCTTTTTAATCATATTTCTGCCATGATAGAATCCGGGATATACATTTAAAGGTAATTTCCGTGTGAGCTGACATATGCAGCGTTTACAGTGAATGCAGTCTCCGCTAACGTGGGAACATTGCCTTTAAATTTCTATCACGCTGTAACGCTGAACTTTGAGATACAGATTTAGAACCCTAATAAAGTGTTACCTCAGTGTCTACAACAGGTTCAAATACTATTTGAAATCTTTCAAAAACTTTGAACGTTTGCTCTAGCCTACCTTGCATGCCAGATGGGCTATTCTATTGGTTTATTGCATCGGGGGAGCTCAATAAAGCCCAGCCAAAGTATTTGCAATTATTTCAAATAGTACTTGAACCCAGGTCTAACGTCTATAAGCCTTTTTGGGGAGAGAATAACAGATGTGTGAAAAGGGATCTTGACAGCCTTTTCCTCTGAGCTACCCAAAGGGACCAATCAGTCTGTGCAACATGTCAGATAATCAGATTTCTCCTCCCATCCCGCCTGGCCGGGAGCGAGCCGTGTGTAACTTTACCATGTGTAAATCTGACACTTAAGCGATGGTTTTAATTTTATGCTGCTTTACTGTAATAGTAGGAATTTAACCTCCAGACTGGTACAGTATGAAAACAGAGAATATGAAGGTGTTCGGTACTAATCTGTAGTAGAGATTGTGTATCTAAAGCTTTATGTGCTCTCATGCTGTGAAGACTCACTATAGCTCGTTTTATAAGATAGGTACCTGTGTGTATGACATTGAGAAAAGAAAAAAAATCGGTCATAATCAATCCTATCAAATAAGATCTTTATTGTCTGAGAACAATAATTCTGTTACACAAGAAGACAGTGTCAGTGGATCAGAAAGCAGAGAGTAGTATGAATGAATCATGTATGAACTAAAATCAACCCATTTGAAATACCAGTATTTCAGAGATGGAACGTTAGCCAGCTCTGGTCCACTCTTCGTCGTGGTAATTCATGTTACCATATCATGGTGGTACTGTAACATTGAGGAGAGACATGACTAGTCTGACTGATCCACGACCCACGTGATTACACAGCGAGCTGTGACTCACTGTCAAGGACTTAGAGAGGCTGGTGTTAGCAAGCCTAAGAAATGACATGATGGCAGATAAACCTTCTCACATTTCAAACTGATAATAGTTGCGCCTTAAAACAAGATCATAGAAGAGTGAGAAATAATCTAAAAATGTGAAAGTTATTGCCTGACAAGTTATTAGACTCTTTGTAAGTAAGTACTGTGTGTGTGTGTGTGTTCAGTCACAGTTTGCTCTGAGCAGCCTGTAGCCTCCACACCCTCCTGACTCCCTCATCGGTCGTATCCAAATCCCGGAACACAACAATGTCGCCCTTCTGGGCGTATCTCCGTAGCAATGGCTCCAGGACAGTCATTGGGACACTGAAGTTCAGGTGAGGGTAGGTTACCTTGGCAGTAAAGTCTCTGGTGTTACTGGAAACCAGACCTGGAATACAATAAGGACAATCAGCCATGAGGTTTGGGTTAGAGAGAGAACGGTCTGAAATGTGGCATTAGAGACAGATAGGACAGCCATTCATTAACAGTACTGTCATATTTTATATGGTCAACCAGTGCCCCCGGCTGTTAAAAAACGGTATCACTCTTTCAAAATCTGCAGTTGCCATCTCTACTGGAGAGCTGGGTACAGGCTTTTGTTCCAGCCCTAGCTGTTCATCAGCTGACTGTGAATCAGGTGTTTTAGAGCAGGGCTGGAACTAAAGACTACAAACCCGGTAGCTCTCCAAGAGTAGGGTTGGCTAACTCCACCCATGGCTTACCTAGCAGCTCTCCTGATCCTGCCCGCACCACAGCTCCTCCGCTGGCCCCTGCCTGCACTGCAGCGGTGGTCTGCAGCATGACGGCCTGGCCGTGACAGCTGATGGCCCTGGACAGGATGCCACTGGTCAGAGAGGGACCGCAGCGCTGGCCAAAAGCTCCGTAACCCACCACCACCACGTCCTCACCTAGGGACCGACATGAGGAGACATCTCAAATGGCACCCTCTCACCTATTTCCAGATAATTTCAATATCTCAATCACATTTAGTTTATAAAGCCCTTTTTACATCAAAGAGCTTTACAGTAACCCAGCTTAGTAGACCTATAGACCCCTAAGAGCAATCAGAAGCACAATGGCAAGATAAGGTTTCCTCCTTTCAGGCAGTTTTGAGAAGAACCAGAATCAGAGGAAAGGCCCATCCTCCGCTTGCTGTCCTCTGGCTGTCCTCTTGTGCAGAGAGAAAGAATACACATAGTGGAGTCAGTGTGACAGTGACATCATGCCTACCTGGTGTAAACGATGTGGCCAACCGTGACACGACTACCTCCGGGGGAGGGTGTCTTAGCTGCACCACGGCTACATCATAGGGAGACGATGGCTTGGTGGAGTACAGGACATCACCCACCACCCCATGAAACCTATGGGGAGGAAGAAAGGAATGTAAAAGTGACAGAGCCTTCACTTTGATCTGTATAATGTTGTGCGGACTACTTTCATCTTCATGCTGGTATGGAATAAATGTTACAGTTTTTTATGTTTGCCCTGGATTTCTCTTCGGTATACCAGCTTAAGTGAAACTTGAACCAACAACCCTGCAGTATATCTCCTGTATCATGAAGGACAAGACCTCTTGGCAGAGGTTGCACTACACTTGCATACACGGAGCTTCAGCATCACTGAACTTCCTATGAGATGCATACAGAATAGTACCCGCTTTTGGTGTTGAATCTTCAGAATCACTGAATGTTATGTGAGATGCAGATAGGTCAGGTGAGTGAAATAGCTGCATGGTACCTGTCATTGGTGTTGAATCTCAAGGTGACAACAGGTTTTCCATTGACAACATGTCGACAGGTAACCACCAACCGAGGACTGACCAGAACCCCAGAGCCCCAGAATTGTCCAGCGTCTACTAAGGACACTGTGGGGTACTTCTGAGTTTCAGTTTCACTCTGTAAGGTTTGAAAGAAGTATGTAGATTCCTGTATGTGTTGGATCTCTTGGTGTGGATCGCGAATATTCAGACACTGTGTGATGTTCCTCAGAATCATCTGAAGCGAGCACACAAGCGTCAGCCCGATCCACTCGCTGGCTTTCCAACACAAGGGGGACACGATCAAACCGACGAGGTGCATTCGGTCTCCGTGGGACACGAAAAGCCCCCCTCCCTCTGTACCGGGCAGGCAGCGGGCGTCAGTGAGAATGAGAGTGTTATCTTCCCCAGCCAGGTTACTAATGATACCCTTGCTTAGGGTGCCCATGAAGAGATCGGGGCAGAAGGCGCCGAAGGGAGAGCCGCAGGCGAGGACCGCGCATCCCTTCCGGAGAGTGGAGCTGGTCGCCCACGGTATGGTTCCACCGTTGACGTTTGACGCTTTGGTCAAGGCTGGTACCTTTGTCGTTGTATGAAAAGACAAAATACATTAGACAAATAGAGACCATTAGACTATCAGCATTCAATGGTAAGAATGAAAATACTGTAAAGAAAACACCTGACTACAAGGGGGTTACACAGTCTGGTACCTTGAGCACAGCAAACCAGCTCAGAAACTCTGAATCCCTAACCATCTCTGCATCGTCCTCCCCACCGTAAAAACTCCACTTATCAGACTCTTTGAAGATCTTCTCAAAAGCACTCTTGAACTCAAAACAGTTAGCTAGCATCAGTAGCTGTGCTGTCGCTTGGTGCTGATGTCGCCAGGTGCTGTTGCTATCCGCAACGGTGCATGACTGGTATGCGCATTGGTTTGTGTCCAAATCTCGCTGTTCATGGAAGTTTAGGCTAATTTTCAGTTTGCTACTGAAACTGTCTGGTAGCAGGAACCGGTGATCTGAAGAGAGAGCGTCCTTGTCATTCATAAAGCGAGAGAAGAGAAGACCATTGCATAGCACGAGACCAGTCTGTGAGTTCAGGATGACTCCACTACAGCTTACTGGTTTCTGATCAGAAAAAGACTCAGACACCGTGACCACGCAACACATTTTTTCAGTCGACGCCATTGTCTGTAGCTGGGGTGTAAAACGAGAGTTTCTATTGGTCAAATTTAGGTAGGTCCCTCCCCGTTTGTTCTGTTTAAGAAACGTTTTGCAACAGAATCGGCGTAATGAATACCCCACTGGCTAACGTTAACATGAACTTTGTGCCAGGCAATGGAGCTAACCGACTTCCACCAACCAGAAAAAAAGTGAGTTCAAAACTCCTAAAAGTACGACGACAACAAATTCAAAAACCTTATGATGCTGATGGCTTTGCAGGATGACACCCTAAAATATCGATTATATCCTACCATCCAACAGGCACAAATATATAACTGATTACTAATTTAACACAAACCGTCAACATTCTCACAATCTCAACATTGTTGATTCTACACGCTACTTCCGAATCTCCTCTCATTGGACCAGAAGTAAAAGGGGTGTAACGATAGCTTGAAACGTTACGTGATTGGCTTTCACTTCTCCAGCTGTCTCCGGTTTCATTGGATAGTGCTTGGTGGTCTACATTCACGAGCGTCAATTCAGAGTAATTCTGCGTATAACGACAGATGGATAGCTAGGGAAACAGCCAATGTTGCCAAATTGATTGCTGTACTGATTGCCAAATCTACATGGCATAAAGATTAGTGTTATTTTGTGCCGTGCAAACTGTATATAGTACAGCGTGCACCTGTTATGAGACAGTATCTGTCCTGTCCCTGACTGAATGACACATTTCAAAGGTTGTCCAGTAACATTCCGTACTATAGGAAAGGAATAACTTGGTGGGCAGTATTAGACCATCATTGAGGAAATTCAAATATCATAAATTGTAGTCTCACATCTCTCACAGAACCAACAGTAAATGTGTCAAAGATCATGCATTGTGGAACATAAAATAAAAACAAAACAAATAACACAGTGTAACGGATTGTCCAAAATATTTATTTTGTTAAGAGGGCATGCAGAATAATTTCACATTATTTACAAAAAAGGATAAAAAGCACCCTCTATCTATTGCACTCATATATATTGTGTCTGTCCTACAAAGCCACACAGTACCACACAAGTACCCTCATATTATAGCTATGAGCAGCCAATAGTCACCAAGTACTTATTTTACAGTAACAAAAACCATCAATTCAGTAGGTACAGTGGGGGGGAAAAAGTATTTAGTCAGCCACCAATTGTACAAGTTCTCCCACTTAAAAAGATGAGAGAGGCCTGTAATTTTCATCATAGGTACACGTCAACTATGACAGACAAATTGAGATTTTTTTTCTCCAGAAAATCACATTGTAGGATTTTTAATGAATTTATTTGCAAATTATGGTGGAAAATAAGTATTTGGTCACCTACAAACAAGCAAGATTTCTGGCTCTCACAGACCTGTAACTTCTTCTTTAAGAGGCTCCTCTGTCCTCTACTCGTTACCTGTATTAATGGCACCTGTTTGAACTTGTTATCAGTATAAAAGACACCTGTCCACAACCTTAAACAGTCACACTCCAAACTCCACTATGGCCAAGACCAAAGAGCTGTCAAAGGACACCAGAAACAAAATTGTAGACCTGCACCAGGCTGGGAAGACTGAATCTGCAATAGGTAAGCAGCTTGGTTTGAATAAATCAACTGTGGGAGCAATTATTAGGAAATGGAAGACATACAAGACCACTGATAATCTCCCTCGATCTGGGGCTCCACGCAAGATCTCACCCCGTGGGGTCAAAATGATCACAAGAACGGTGAGCAAAAATCCCAGAACCACACGGGGGGACCTAGTGAATGACCTGCAGAGAGCTGGGACCAAAGTAACAAAGCCTACCATCAGTAACACACTACGCCGCCAGGGACTCAAATCCTGCAGTGCCAGACGTGTCCCCCTGCTTAAGCCAGTACATGTCCAGGCCCGTCTGAGGTTTGCTAGAGTGCATTTGGATGATCCAGAAGAGGATTGGGAGAATGTCATATGGTCAGATGAAACCAAAATATAACTTTTTGGTAAAAACTCAACTCGTCGTGTTTGGAGGACAAAGAATGGTGAGTTGGATCCAAAGAACACCATACCTACTGTGAAGCATGGGGGTGGAAACATCATGCTTTGGGGCTGTTTTTCTGCAAAGGGACCAGGACGACTGATCCGTGTAAAGGAAAGAATGAATGGGGCCATGTATTGTGAGATTTTGAGTGAAAACCTCCTTCCATCAGCAAGGGCATTGAAGATGAAACGTGGCTGGGTCTTTCAGCATGACAATGATCCCAAACACACCGCCCGGGCAACGATGGAGTGGCTTCGTAAGAAGCATTTCAAGGTCCTGGAGTGGCCTAGCCAGTCTCCAGATCTCAACCCCATAGAAAATCTTTGGAGGGAGTTGAAAGTCCGTGTTGCCCAGCGACAGCCCCAAAACATCACTGCTCTAGAGGAGATCTGCATGGAGGAATGGGCCAAAATACCAGCAACAGTGTGTGAAAACCTTGTGAAGACTTACAGAAAACGTTTGACCTGTGTCATTGCCAACAAAGGGTATATAACAAAGTATTGAGAAACTTTTGTTATTGACCAAATACTTATTTTCCACCATAATTTGCAAATAAATTCATAAATAATCCTACAATGTGATTTTCTGGATTTTTTTTTCTCATTTTGTCTGTCATAGTTGACGTGTACCTATGATGAAAATTACAGGCCTCTCTCATCTTTTTAAGTGGGAGAACTTGCACAATTGGTGGCTGACTAAATACTTTTTTCCCCCCACTGTAGGTAGTCGTAGTTGAGCATTCAAATGGTAGACTATATGAAATTGCATACATCATCTGTGACTGACGTGTGCAACCAACGCAGTTGTGATAAAACCCTGGTACTACAAAATACTGCACCTTTGTATTATAAACAAGCATTAATAAATAAAAAGTGATAATGCACTTGTAGTCACATTCTTGGCATCAGTTGGTAGTGATTCAACTTGAATTGATCAATCAAAACATTCATTTGACGAGAGAACAACTTTGTCCTCATTGGTAAAATACTCCAACTGTGCTTGATTGAGCTTGCCTGTTGCAATGGAACCAACAAAAAAGTCCCAGAAGTACAAAGTGTTTGAAATATCTCGAATAGTATTTGAACCCAGGCCTGTAGTACGTGGAAGGCAACAGCAGCAATGGTGAAAAGACAACGCAGAACTGTTACAGCAATAAACCCTCCTCTGTAATCCAATGCCAGTGATTTAAAAATAAACCAGGGTTAGGAACTGGTTCAAAGCGATGGCATGTCCTACCCTGTAAGAGTAGAGAGGGGTAACGTCGCCGAACATAGAGGGGATTCCCTAACTAACTTCATCATACTAATAAGAATGTAATAAGAATAATAGGGTTTGACAGACATCATGATGTATCATTCAAAATACACACCACCACAGTACTTTCAGTAAGTAACAGATAATATATCATTGAAAACTACGAAGTCTATGAAATCTTGGGTTTGCAGGTTTTGATACTTGGCTTAGGCAAGGAAGTTTGAATTCACTACATAGGGCTCATACTAACAATTATCAATGGGTTCAACTGTTAGAGGGTTATCAAACAATCACTAGGCCTGTATATTTCAATAGTGCAGTGTTTCCCAACTCCAGTCCTCACCAACAGCACACATTTTTAATGTAGCCCCGGACAAGCAAACCAGAGTTGATTCAACTTGTCAATTTATCATCAAGCCCTAGATGAGTTGAATGAGGTGTGCTTATCCGGGGCTACAACAAAAATGTGTACTGAAATAGTGTATCAAGAAAAATATATATTTTCTTAGAAATATATTTACTTATTGAGGGCACACTCTCAAATGCTAAAATGACAAATATAGCATGCTAGCAGTTGATAGCTTTTCCAGCAGGTAGATTTGTGAGGCCTGTACTCTTGTGCATACAAAACAGTTGATGAACAAATACCCTTCCTTTTCACACTACTGAGCCAAACCAAGCTGAGCCAAGCCGGCTTGGTTACGCATCCATCATAGTTGCTGCAACCAAACCAAGCTGAGCCAAGCCGGCCTGATTACGCATCCATCATAGTTGCTGCAACCATGCTGGAAAGGACAATTGGAAAATAAATGATCTAGGCCACCCTGTAAGGTTTGGGTTGGCTCTATAGTGTGAATCAGGTGAAAGAGAAATAAGATGGGAGTGATGTATAGATCAGTCAATGTACTGTGAGAGCCAGCGGAAGCCGTCTCCATATCCCTGCCTCTTCAGAACACTGCACATGAAGATTTCCATGGGCCTCAGGTTCAGCTCCTTCAGTGACACGTTACCCTGAACAGAGAAACGCACGCAGACAGAAGAGACAAGTAAAGATGAACCTCCATTCCAACCTTTTCCTTTGCGTTGCAGTGAATGCGAGACTACAGAGTTAGCATAATAAACTACCATAATTAAGTGGATGGTGACTGTACTTTAAAATATCATTTGTCATCCCAATCTAGTCATTGTCGAGACAAGACTAGATAGCTCTGTAGGCCACCACCTTGAATTGGTTTAATCTGATGTCAGTTTCTCTGGAGGCTGCTGCTTTAGAGGGTAAACCATGTGGGGTGCATTCAACAGTAAGCCTCTCTCCTCCTGCAGGTTGGCATTTATTGTCATGAATCTTGACCTGGAGGCAGCTCTGCAAAGTATCACTAGCTATCACAGCCACAAAGTTATCAAACCTAAACCTAACCACACTGCTAACCCTAACTTTAAATTAAGACCAAAAAGCACATTTTTGTTTTCATGAATTTTTACTATATATCCAATTTGACTTTGCAATTGGGCCATCTAGCGGAAATCGCTCATTTCTGCCTCCAGGGCAAGATTCATAACAATAAACGTTGACCTGCTCTCCTCCCCACCTTTCCGGTAGTGTGTCCAATGAGCCCGAACATCCCTCTGAGTGCGTCTTCACTGATGGCCTCTGGACGGTCAATCTTATTCCCCAGGATAAGTACAGGCACGTTGGAGATGGTCTCGTCTGTTAACAGCGCCTGGAGAGAGAATGTAGAGGGCCAGTTTAATGTCCTGCTCATCAGTGAAAAGCAATGTTGTATTGATTAGCATTTAGCCATACAATAACTACTGAGTGTAGGATATGCTGCTTATTTAATACTACAATTTTTATTTTTTATTTTTTATTGAATATAATATTTATTTATTTATTTTTTCTTTCTTTTTCAGGGGGAATGGATCAGCATAATATTGCAGATAGATTGTATCTTCTATCAATGTAATTGTATGCATCACTTCCAATCCCCCATGTTTAATTTTTTTAAATATATATATATACTCCCCTTTATTACTTTTCAACCCCACCATCCTTTCCCTACTTGGAGTAAATTAGTGAACAACAATGCCCAGGCCTCTACTTCCGGTCTATAATTACTATCTACACCTTATGGACAGAGTTAATTTTACAATAATTCTATTATATATATATATATATTATTATTATTTTTGGCTCCTGAACTTCTTCTACTCTCAACCTCTCCGATCATTTTCATGATGTCCATCCGGTTTGCTTCTATATGCCATATCTTTCTAACTGTGCTCTTTCCCAAAAGCTCCCAACATACAACCTATGTACTTATTATGGACACAGTATGCTTACATTATTAGATATCTTTGTTATTATTTGTTGTTATTTGTTATTAGTCCCATCCTTCAACTCTATTCAATACCTCCCATCTACCTCTCTTAACACCATCCATATAGGATTTCTATTTGCCATATATATTTCAACCGTACTGTGATGTTTTACAAAAGTTCTGAACCTTTCTATTCTCATTGCTTCTACAGATTGTGAATTAAAAATAAACATTTTTGCTAAAAGTATTATTATATTATTGATTGATTGACTATGACTTTTCAGATCACCCAGTAATGCTATCTGCAAGGTTAGTTCCAGGTAAATATTGCAATCCTTTAGCCATTCCTGGACCTGTGTCCAAAAACAAGCTACAAATGGACAGAACCAAAACAAATGATCTAATGATTCTGCCTCTTCACAGCAAAATCTGCAGAGCTGGGAAGATTGTATCCCCCATATAAATAACATTCTATTGGTAGCAACATTTTATATAATAATTTAAATTGAAAGATTCTAATTTTTGAATCCGGTGTCGTTTTGCGTGTCAGTTCATAAACACTATGCCATGGGATCGGTACGTCAAAGATCTCTTCCCAACTATTTTGCAATCTATATGGGACGGCTGTCAATCCTTTGGTCCTTAAGTGAAACTGATATACTTTTTTATTTATCACAGTTTTCCTTAACCAATTATGTTCTTTAATGCAAGGCCGACAGACAAGTTCCTTACTTTCTCCCCCTTCCACTTCCTCTTCCACTTTTGCGGTAAGGCTGCAATTATTTGGTTGTAATTTTGGGTAGAGCAGACATTTCCATATGTTTTTGTTAGCTGCATGTGCGACATAACTCCACCAGTCCTACCGATGATATCATTTACGAAGATTATACCTTTTTTAAACATTCTGTCAAAAAATAAAGGTTTTTTGTCAATTAGCATATTTGAATTTAACCACAATATTTGTTGCATTATTTGTTCTGTCGTTTCTGGAGGATTAAATTGAAATTGCAACCAACTTTCTATGGCTTGTTTTAGAAATAGTGACATTTGGGAGATTATTTCCTTTTCAAATAACTGAAAGTGAGAGGTTGTAATCTGAATAAAGGGAAAAAGGCCTTTCTTGAACATTGGGTGAGACAATTTTACTAATTTGCTTGAGAACCATTTCGGATTTAAGTATAACTTTTGTATGACTGAAGCTTTTAGTGATAGGTCTAATGCTTTAATATTTAATAATTTCTGTCCTCCGAATTCATATTCATTATATAAATATGCTCTTTTAATTTTGTCTGGCTTGCCGTTCCAAATAAAATTGAATATTTTTTTCTCATATAATTTAAAAAAACTGTTCGCTAGGCGTCGGCAAGACCATAAGCAAATAGGTAAACTGGGATAATACTAAAGAGTTAATCAGGGTGATTTTTCCACAAATTGACAGGTATTTTCCTTTCCATGGTAGTAAGATCTTATCTATTTTTGCTAACTTTCTATTAAAATTTATTGAAGTGAGATCATTTATTTCCTTTGGGATATGTATTCCGAGTATATCCACATCACCATCAGACCATTTTATTGGTAAACTACATGGTAATGTAAAAATTTTATTTTTTAGTGATCCAATACGTAATATAGTACATTTGTCATAATTTGGTTGTAATCCAGAGAGGTTAGAAAATGTATCTAGATCCTCTATGAGGCTGTGGAGGGATTCTAGTTGTGGATTTAAAAGAAAACATGAATCATCAGCGTACAATGACACCTTTGTTTTTAAGCCCTGTATTTCTAATCCTCTGATATTATTATTGGATCTGATTTTAATAGCTAACATCTCGATGGCCACAATAAATAGATATGCCGATAGTGGACAACCTTGTTTCACTCCTCTTGACAGTTTAAAACTTTCTGAGAAATAGCCATTATTTACTATTTTACACCTAGGGTTACTATACATGATTTTGACCCATTTTATAAGAGATTCTCCAAAATTGAAATGCTCCAGGCATTTATATATAAACCCCAGTCGAACTTTATCAAATGCCTTTTCGAAGTCTGCTATGAATAGCAGGCCTGGTTTCCCATATTTTCCATAGTGTTCTATTGTTTCCAATACTTGCCTTATATTATCTCCAATGTATCTTCCATGTAAAAAACCTGTCTGATTAGAATGAATAATATCCGACAATACCTTTTTAATTCTATGCGCTATACATTTTGCTAGGATTTTTGCATCACAACACTGAAGTGTAAGGGGCCTCCAATTTTGTAAATGGACTGGATCTTTATATTTTCCACTTGTATCCTGTTTCAGTAATAATGAGATCAGACCTTCTTCTTGAGTGTCAGATAATCTACCATTTACATAGGAGTGGTTAAAACATGCTAATAACGGTCCTCTTAGTATATCAAAAAAGGTTTGGTATACCTCGACTGGTATGCCATCCAACCCTGGAGTTTTCCCGGACTTAAAGTCTTTAATTGCATCCAGAAGTTCCTCCTCTGTAATTTCACCTTCACATGAGTCTTTCTGTGTGGCTGTTAATTTGACATAATCAATAGAAAAAAAATCTCTACAATTAGCTTCAGTTAGAGGAGATGGAGGCGACTGAAAAGAAAACTTTGTTTCTTCCTTCAAAATATCATTTGGTGAATTATGGGTGACTCCGTCAATTGTAACCAGTTTCATTAAGTTCTTTTTGGTAGCATTCCTATGTTGAAGATTAAAAAAGAATGTTGTGCATTTTCCCCATATTCCATCCAGTTTGCTTTATTTTTATAATATATTACACTTGATCTTTCTTGAATAAGTTTCTCCATTTCTTTTTGTTTTTCCTCTAATTTATTCTGAGCCTCTATGTTACAGTTTTTTTATTGCCATCTATCTGTTCTGTTAGACTTTCTATTTCCTTTCTTAGTATAAACTCTTTTGACCTAAATTGCTTTTGTTTTCGAGATGAGTACTGAATTGCATGGCCTCTAAAGGCACTTATTTAATACTACTATTTATTATCTTCGTGGAAATGATTTTTTTGTGGGGACGATGACTTACGTACATCTAGTTCAATTTTGGCTTCTTGTAGTCTCTCATGGTCTGCAGCATCCACCATGTAGACTATACCGTTTATAGCTGGGAGGTAGTTCTTCCAGATTCTCCTGGCTGTGAGTGAAAATTTCACAAGTGACATGTCATTGCCACTTAAGACTCAGTATCATCTGACGGTTTCAAGACTTAACCATTAGAGAAAGCACAGTGTGCATACAGTTTGAATTCTAATGTGTACCTTGTGTGTGACCACCAAGATCAAATGTTGTGAATGTCATCCCAGCAATGGTCAGCTCTTCTGATGCTGTGGGACAGACAAATAGACTAGTTGAGGAACCACCAGATAAGGGTCGATGGCAGGCATAGGTAAGTAAGCAAGGTGTCTGAACTGAACATCCTCCTTCTGTCTTACTGGGATGTAATGTTGGCACATGCTGTCCCAGTCTGTCATCTCTGAGCATGTGCAGTAGCGTTGTTTTCCCAGCATTGTCCAAACCAAGGAACACCAGCTTCCCAGACTTCTTATATAAACCTAGAGGGAGAGACAAGTATAGAGACAGTTTATTTACCACCAGATGTAATGTAGGAAAATATGCGATGAAAATATGACGTGATTGAACACCTGATTTGACCATATTATGATTAGGTTAGTCATGTGCTTGAGAAACAACTCAGTTATTGGTAGAGCATGAGTGTCAAGATACAGGTACACTCAGAAATAAAGTCTATCACTCTTCAGTGAGTAATTAGTCTTTCTCCAGGAGTTAGTTTTAATGATTGAATGGTTTACATTTTAACTGTACCTAGTAACTGCAGCACACCACTGAGGCCTTTGTAGATCCAGTTAAATATAAAGGACATGTCTGTTGTCTTTACCTGAAACAGAACGGTTAAATACACAATACAGAGTCACTTACAGTGTAATTAACATCGTGACGGTACTTAACTCTAAAGTATACTCCGCTTCATTCATAACTAGAGGACAGATAGGGGCCAACTACAACTCTGCCACGCAGGCGTGTCATGCACCCCAAAAATGGCTGGGGGGATCCGGAGGGGGGCTAGGCCCCCCGTTGGGAAGGTGGAGAATTGGAAAAAATGTAAACACCTGAAACAGCTTTTTCCTGCAATCTAGAGCCATGATCATTATGCGTAATTCTACGTCAAAAATATTTTTCTAAATTATGCGTAATTCTAAACTAAATATGCTTCTCTGCAAAAATCTGGGTAACAGATTGAAAGGAATGTGTGTCTTATTCAGTACATTTAGTTATTGCTTGCTTTTCTAACCTCTACCAACCTTGGCAGCAGTCATGCCAGCTAAGATAGATAGTTAGACAAGCTAGCTACTCTAACTTGATTGATAACTTGAATGGCTTCTTGGTAGCTAGTTATGAGGTTGGAAGATTGGTAACCTATCTGGTCTAGCTAAAACCAACTACATAAAATTGCTAGGTGGCTAGTAGTATTACAGAAGCAAAACAAAAATAATAGTACATATATTTGTACTTTTATAACAGGACAAATCTGAAAGGGCACATGCCCCTGTGCCCCCTATGGGCATGACACCTCTGCTGCCATGTTAGGGGAAGTTATTGGACACATTGCCTCCACATTGCTTCTGACTCTACCCATTCTTCATATTTTATTTTAGAAAGCGCAAGAGCAAATTAAAAAACAAAACCTCTAACAGACTTTTAGATGATACAATTTGTTTGAAAATGAAACATGATGAAATAAGTGTAACAGAGAATACCCTCCACACACACAATAAAATGTTGTAGCAAAATCCCACAGCGCAATAGACCTAGTCACGGCTATTTAACCTCCAATACTGAAGCTCAATTGTTTTTCCCAACCCCGGATTAACTCGTTGGTATGTGTAAACTGCTCCGAGTTGTTGTGCCAAGGCGAAAAAAGTGAAGGAAAATAATAAATCCACCACAAACTGTAGGTTGGCAACTGTAGCCCGTTCACACTAACAGGGAGCTGGCTAACTGATCTAGAGGTCTTCATGGGTCCACCCCGAACCCCCGAGACCCGACCCGGGACCCCAGCGGATCCGGGTCCAAAATTCTAACTTTTCCCTCCGGGTCGGGTCCTGTTTGATTGTCATCAGGTCTCGAGTCTATGTAATGACAGCTGATAGACCTGAGTGGACCCAAATGGACCCGACCACGGCTCTGCATAGCCTATAGCATATTTCTTTTACGCTAATAAGGTTAATTTGTGATCACGCTCTCCGTAACCGATGTGAGTAAGACTTTTAAGCAGGTCAACATTCACAAGGCCGCAGGGCCAGACGGATTACCAGGACGTGTACTCCGAGCATGTGCTGACCAACTGTCAAGTGTCTTCACTGACATTTTCAACATGTCCCTGACTGAGTCTGTAATACCAACATGTTTCAAGCAGACCACCATAGTCCCCGTGCCCAAGGACTCTAAGATAACCTGCCTAAATGACTACTGACCCGTAGCACTGACGTCTGTAGCCATGAAGTGCTTTGAAAGGCTGGTCATGGCTCACATCAACAGCATTATCCCAGAAACCCTAGACCCACTCCAATTTGCATACCGCCCCAACAGATCCACAGATGATGCAATCTCTATTGCACTCCACACTGCCCTTTCCCACCTGGACAAGAGGAACACCTACGTGAGAATGCTATTCATTGACTACAGCTCAGCATTCAACACCATAGTGCCCTCAAAGCTCATCACTAAGCTAAGGATCCTGGGACTAAACACCTCCCTCTGCAACTGGATCCTGGACTTCCTGACGGGCCGCCCCCAGGTGGTAAGGGTAGGTAACAACACATCTGCCACACTGATCCTCAACACGGGGGCCCCTCAGGGGTGCGTGCTCAGTCCCCTCCTGTACTCCCTGTTCACCCATGACTGCATGGCCAGGCACGACTCCAACACCATCATTAAGTTTGCCGACGACACAACAGTGGTAGGCCTGATCACCGACAACGATGAGACAGCCTATAGGGAGGAGGTCAGAGACCTGGCCGTGTGGTGCCAGGACAACAACCTCTCCCTCAACGTGACCAAGACAAAGGAGATGATTGTGGACTACAGGAAAAAAAAGAGGACTGAGCACGCCCCCATTCTCATCGACGGGGCTGTAGTGGAACAGGTTGAGAGCTTCAAGTTCCTTGGTGTCCACATCACCATCGAACTATCATGGTCCAAACACACCAAGACAGGCGTGAAGAGGGCACGACAAAGCCTATTCCCCCTCAGGAGACTGAAAAGATTTGGCATGGGTCCTCAGATCCTCAAAAAATTATACAGCTGCACCATCGAGAGCATCCTGAGTGGTTGCATCACCACCTGGTATGGCAACTGCTTGGCCTCCGACTGCAAGGCACTACATAGGGCAGTGCGTACGGCCCAGTACATCACTGGGGCCAAGCTTCCTGCCATCCAGGACCTCTATACCAGGCGGTGTCAGAGGAAGGCCCTCAAAATTGTCAAAGACTCCAGCCACCCTAGTCATAGACTGTTCTCTCTGCTACCGCACGGCAAGCGGTACCGGAGTGCCAAGTCTAGGTCCAAAAGACTTCTCAACAGCTTCTACCCCCAAGCCATAAGACTCCTGAACAGCTAATCACGGCTACCCGGACTATTTGCACTGCCCCCCCCACCCCATCCTTTTACGCTGCTGCTACTCTGTTCATTATTTATGCATAGTCACTTTAACTCTACCCACATGTACATATTACTTCAACTACCTCAACTAGCCGGTGCCGCCGCACATTGACTCTGCACCGGTACCCCCCTGTATATATAGCCTCCCTACTGTTATTTTATTTTACTTCTGCTCTTTTTTTCTCAACACTTTTTTTGTTGCTTTATTTTTACTTTTTTGTTAAAAATAAATGCACTGTTGGTTAAGGGCTGTAAGTAAGCATTTCACTGTAATGTCTGCACCCGTTGTATTCGGCGCATGTGGCCAATAAATTGATTTGATTGATTTGAATTTATTGACTTATAGAAGGCCTAGCCGACATATAAAGATCTATTTGTTAACCAGAAGAGCAACTTGGCTGATAAACATGATTTGTTTTGTCACTCGGGTTGGGTCTAGGTCTGGTTGTCGTCAGGTCCGGGTCTGATTGTCCTCTGTCCTTTCAGGTCCAACTTCATAGACCAGAGAAGACCTCTAAACTGATCTTAGCACTCAGACTGTTCTTGCTACAGACTATTTTTATGGACAAGTTGTAGCTACAGATGACATTTGATAGGTCCGGGACAGCCATGGCACACCTGTCACTTTCTTGACAGTGACTACTAACTTGCTGTGTGAATAGCATGATAGTGACCTTACAGGAATGCAAAAACGAATTCCAGAGTTTACCTATAGCTGCCCAGCTATCATAAAATACACAGTTATTGAGTAAGATTGGTAATTTTACTGACTAAAGCTGTACTATACATTACAACTGTGAAATTATTACAATGGAATTGGCTAATTACATAGTATCCTAGCTATACTGTTGTTGACACCATATTGCAATTCGGTCTGGCAGCAGGTGACTGAAACGTTGCAACATCAGGGTTGCTGAGATAAACATCAATGTGAAGTTAAACAACAAACCAAGTAGGCTAGGCTAAATAGGTCGCAATTAAAACAGCCCACTCCCAATTGATCAAACTCAAAACACGCTGGCCTGATTTTATGATAAACAAATATCTACTAGATGTTGATTTTCATGGAACTATGTAACAACTGAACGCAAAAATGTTATCATGTACCTTATGTCAGTGGCTCTAACACTCCGTATCGTTACTTTTGGTCCAGGCTTTCTCCGTGTATGACAGGTCAAAATTTGACAGTTCACCGGAAATGCGTAAGAACTGCTTTTGGGAAGGGGGCGGGTCACGTGTCAAAATATGATCCCATACATTTCTGTAATTAGATTTTCTGAGACAAAGAACTCAGAATCTCAAATCAAAACAATTGATATTTTTCAAATAGAAAAATACACATGCCACCTTGAATGAGAATTTATAGTCGCACGCACAACCATGCAGGGAATTACATAATTCGGAAGCCGCTGTGGAATAGAAAATGACCGCTAGATGGCAGTAGAACACAAACTCCAAACGTGTGTTTTTCAATATCAGTACACTAGCAAAGTGTAACCAAATCAACCCTCATCTACATAATATGTCAGCTGGGTAACAAGAGTAGAACTTTCTACAAAAGATTGTCAACACAGACCCAAATAAAATATTGAAAGTTGTTAGAAGAAAAAAAAAAATAGGTTGTACATTATCCAACAAAATAATCGTAGACATGTTTTCAACAGAAAAAGCTTTATTAAAGGCGATTGAGATGATCCTGGCATACAGTACATGAGTAGCTATAGGTAGCACCCTACCAGTGCCAGCTGTTGGACAGCACATCTCCAATGAGACCTTTGTTAAATAAATGGGAAAATACATTTCCTAAGACATGATTTCATTACTCTTTTTGTCCTTCCATCTACTCTCATCTTCCGAGTGTGGAGAAGATAGTCTATTGTTTCTCAGTCACACCCACAACCATCGTTAAGTCTATTATCTTCAAATATGCTAGCTAAACAGATTAGACACTTCTGGTCCATTGAGTCTTCATCTCAAAGTTACTTCTCATAGTAGAACCATTTATCCACTGGAAATAGAAAGAAAAAACAAATCACATGATAAGACGTGTCAATTCCATTTCAATTCAGGAAGTAAACTGAAATTCCAATTATCCCCACTGAGGAGAAATGTAATTGGATTCAACTTAACTTACTTCCTGAATAGCAATGGAATTGTCTGTCCTAAAAGAAAATGTGTGTACAACCATGCAATCCTTCCTTATCATTCCAGGTTGGTCATAAAAGTGGGATTTTTACAATACGTCAAATAACCATCTGATAGTCAATGCAGGATCCAATCCATAAATATACAATCACATCAAGGATAATCATTAACAGTGATTAACATTGTGAAATGTAAGAGACTTACCTGAGCAGGGGATAGGATCTTCAGTTCCACAAGGGCTTGTCTAAAAAAAGACCCCCAAAAAATACAAGCAATAATAAATACATAATTGGATGATCTGATTGAGCAAAGTATAAAGATGCATGCCAGACATGTTTGACAACACCAGAGGTATGTACAATTGAAGTCGGAAGTTTACATACACCTTAGCCAAATACATTTAAACTCAGTTTTTCACAATTCCTGACATTTAATCCTAGTAAAAAGTATCTTTCTTAGGTCAGTTAGGATTGAGGTCAGGGCTTTGTGATGGCCACTCCAATACCTTGACTTTGTTGTCCTTAAGCCATTTTGCTACAACTTTGGAAGTATGCTTGGGGTCATTGTCCATTTGGAAGACCCATTTGCGACCAAGCTTTAACTTCCTGACTGATGTCTTGAGATGTTGCTTCAATATATCCACATAATTTTCCTTCCTCATGATGCCATCTATTTTGTGAAGTACACCAGTCCCTCCTGCAGCAAAGCACCCCCACAGTGTGACTGAGAAACAATAGACTATCTTCTCCACACTCGGAAGATGAGAGTAGATGGAAGGACAAAAAGAGTAATGAAATCATGTCTTAAGAAATGTATCAGTGTTAATACTAAATTGTAATTATTTTGCACTATGGCCTATTTATTGCCTTACCTCCATAACTTACTACATTTGACTGTACGTTTTGTTTATTCCATGTAACTCTATATTGTTTGTAAATCACACTGCTTTGCTTTATCTTGGCCAGGTGGCAGTTGTAAATGAGGACTTGTTCTCAACTGGCTTACCTGGTTAAATAAAGGTTAAATAAAAATAATAAAAAATGATGCTGCCACCCCCGTACATCACGGTTGGGATGGTGTTCTTCGGCTTGCAACCCTCTCATTTTCCTCCAAACATAACGATGGTCATTATGGCCAAACAGTTCTATTTTTGTTTCATCAGACCAGAGGACATTTCTCCAAAAAGTATGATCTTTGTCCCCATGTGCAGTTGCAAACCATAGTCTGGCTTTTTTATGGCGGTTTTGGAGCAGTGGCTTCTTCCTTGCTGAGCGGCCTTTCAGGTTATGTCGATATAGGACTCGTTAGACTGTGGATATAGATACTTTTGTACCTGTTTCCTCCAGCATCTTCACAAGGTCCTTTGCTGTTGTTCTGGGATTGATTTGCACTTTTCGCATCAAAGTATGTTCATCTCTAGGAGACAGAACGCATCTCCTTCCTGAGCGGTATGACGGCTGCGTGGTCCCATGGTGTTTGTTCTTGCGTACTATTGTTTGTACAGATGAACGTGGTACCTTCAGGCGTTTGGAAATTGCTCCCAAGGATGTACCAGACTTGTGGAGGTCTACAATTTTTTTCCTGAGGTCTTGGCTGATTTCTTTTGATTTTCCTATGATGTCAAGCAAAGAGGCGCTGAGTTTGAAGGTAGGCCTTGAAATACATCCACATGTACACCTCCAATTCACTCAAATGATGTCAATTAGCCTATCAGAAGCTTCTAAAGCCATTACATAATTTTCTGGAATTTTCCAGGCTGTTTAAAGGCACAGTCAACTTAGTGTATGTAAACTTCTGACCCACTGGAATTGTGATACAGTGAATTATAAGTGAAATAAACTGTCTGTAAACAATTGTTGGAAAAATTACTTGTGTCATGCACAAAGTAGATGTCCTAACCGACTTGCCAAAACTATAGTTTGTTAACAAGAAATGTGTGGAGTGATTGAAAAACAAGTTTTAATGACTCCAACCTAAGTGTATGTAAACTTCCGACATTAACTGTATGTGTAGAATGTTACAATCCCTGCAATGCACTTTTAATTGCTAATTTTTTATTTGAAGTACTGACCCCGTCAACAGAAGTGAGTTTCACCCTTGAAATGCACTTTGAATTGCTCGATTTTACTTGAATAGTTACTGACCGCAGTACTGACCGCCGCAGTTAAGAGCAGAGCATATAACGGAGACAGTTCTGAGCTGACCCTGAAGTTCTAAAGGAGACAGTTCTGAGCTGACCCTGAAGTTCTAGAACCTAGTCATGAAGAAACAGGAAGTACTGACCCCGCCTACGACAGCCTTGGCCTCGTCTGTAGAGCAGCAGAAGGGGCTATCTCCCGCCGACACACACGTATTTTTACTGCAGGATGGGAGGAAAACGGTCACATCAGATTCAAACAAGTTCTTGCTTGTTGCTGTATTCAAACAAGTTTGTCAGAAGTCAAATCTAATTTCACAAATTAAGTGGCAGGGTCTACATGTTAGAATTACAGATTGGGCCTTTAAGAATCTTTAAGAATGACTTCACAGTAATGATATTAAAATGATGGGACTGTAACAAACGCCAGTTTTAGAGGTATTGTACTGTACTGTAAGAGGATTGTACATAGTGTTCTCTCCTCACCAGTTGAGTCCTCCAGCATTGGTATTTTCAGAGATAAGTGCCTTCCAGAAGCGATGGGTGCTCTTGATTGTCTCAATGGCAAAGTCCTGACAGGGAAACATACAGACCGAGCAGAGGCTGTTGTCAGGGTAAGGAAACATACAGACCGAGCAGAGGCTGTTGTCAGGGTAAGGAAACATACAGACCGAGCAGAGGCTGTTGTCAGGGTAAGGAAACATACAGTTTGAGGGGGGTTTCCTGGACACAGATTAAGCCTAGTCCCCAACTAAAATGCAAACTCAATGGAGAATCCCAATTGTGAGTGCTTTATAGACCAGGACTAGGCTTAATCTGTGTCCAGGAAACCAACCCTTTGTATTTCTGTATTTTTGCTGAGCCGATCGCTTTAAACCAGGTTCTTACTAGTTACTATTGAACTTCACTGGACACTACACAGGGACATACTATGTGCCAACAGGATAAAACCACCCTGTGGGTCTTGCAACAGAAATGTCAGCACTCTATTTGGCGAATGCAATCTAGCCTGGGTACCACACCGTTTCGGCATTCAACAACGTTCCATTGCTACAAGGCTACGAAGGCAAAACAACATGATGGCTAATGCAGAAACAGACTGGCATACAGGCTAAACTGCTATCCATGTATCTACAGTGCCTTCGGAAAGTGTTCAGACCCCTTGCATTTTTCCACATTTTGTTAAGTTACAGCCTTATTCTATAATTGATTAAATTGTTTTTCCCCCCATCAATCTACACACAATACCCCATAACGACAAAGCAAAAACTGTTTTTTTTTAATTTTTTGCCAATTTATTTTAAAAGAAAACCAGATATCACTCATTTACATAAGTATTCAGACCCTTTACTCAGTACTTTGTTGAAGCACCTTTGGCAGCGATTACAGCCTTGAGTCTTCTTGGGTATGACACTACAAGCTTGGCATACCTGTATTTGGGGAGTTTCTCCCATTCTTCTCTGCAGATCCTCTCAAGCTCTGTCAGGTTGGGTGGGGAGCATTGCTGCACAGCTATTTTCAGGTCTCCCCTGAGAAGTTCGATTGGGTTCAAATCCGGGCTCTGGCTGGGCCACTCAAGGACATTCAGAGACTTGTACCGAAGCCATTCCTGCGTTGTCTTGGCTGTGGGCTTAGGGTCGTTATCCTGTTGGAAGGTGAACCTTTGTCCCAGTCTGAGGTCCTGAGCGCACTGGAACAGGTTTTCATCAAGGATCTCTCTGTACTTTGCTCCGTTCATCTTTGCCTCGATCCTCACTAGTCTCCCGTCCCTGTCACTGAAAAAAACATTCCCACAGTATGATGCTCGCACCACCATGCTTCACCGTAGGGATGGTGTCAGGTTTCCTCCAGATGTGACGCTTGGCATTCAGGCCAAAGAGTTCAATCTTGGTTTCATCAGACCAGATAATCTTGTTTCTCATGATCTGAGAGTCTTTAGGTGCCTTTTGGCAAACTCTAAGCGGGCTGTCATGTGCCTTTTACTGAGGAGTGGCTTCCGTCTGGTGACTCTACCATAAAGGCCTGATTGGTGGAGTGCTGCAGAGATGGTTGTCCTTCTGAAAGGTTTTCCCATCTCCACAGAGGAGCTCTGTCAGAGTGACCATCGGGTTCTTGGTCACCTCCCTGACCAAGGCCCTTCTCTCCCGATTGCTCAGTTTGGGTGGGCGTCCAGCTCTAGGAAGAGTCTTGGTGGTTCCAAACTTCTTCCATTTAAGAATGATGGAGGGCACTGTGTTCTTGGGGACCTTCAATGCTGCAGACGTTTTTTGGTACCCTTCCCCAGATCTGTTTCTCCACACAATCCTGTCTCGGAGCTCTACGGACAATTCCTTCGACCTCATGGCTTGGTTTTTGCTCTGACATGCACTGTCAACTGTGGGACCTTATACAGACAGGTGTGTGCCTTTCCAAATCATGTCCAATCAATTGAAATTACCACAGGTGGACTCCAATCAAGTTGTAGAAACATCAAGGATGATCAATGGAAACAGGATGCACCTGAGCTCAATTTCGAGTCTCAGAGCAAAAGGTCTGAATACTTATAACGTTTTTTTTTTATATATATACATTTGAAGAAAAATCTAAAAGCCTGTTTTCGCTTTGTCATTATGTGGTATTGTGTGTAGATTGCTGAGGTCTGAATACTTTCTGAAGGCACTGTAGATTGAAAAAGTTGCTTTAGATGATGAGGGTGAATGTGGTACAAAGTAGATACAGTGAGGGAAAAAAAGTATTTGATCCCCTGCTGATTTTGTACGTTTACCCATTGACAAAGACATGATCAGTCTATAATTTTAATGGTAGGTTTATTTGAACAGTGAGAGACAGAATAACAACAACAAAATCCAGAAAAACGCATGTCAAAAATGTTATAAATTGATTTGCATTTTAATGAGGGAAATAAGTATTTGACCCCTCTGCAAAACATGACTTAGTACTTGGTGGCAAAACCCTTGTTGGCAATCACAGAGGTCAGATGTTTCTTGTAGTTGGCCACCAGGTTTGCACACATCTCAGGAGGGATTTCGTCCCACTCCTCTTTGCAGATCTTCTCCAAGTCATTAAGGTTGAGGCTGACGTTTGGCAACTTGAACCTTCAGCTCCCTCCACAGATTTTCTATGGGATTAAGGTCTGGAGACTGGCTAGGCCACTCCAGCACCTTAATGTGCTTCTTGAGCCACTCCTTTGTTGCCTTGGCCGTGTGTTTTGGGTCATTGTCATGCTGGAATACCCATCCACGATCCATTTTCAATGCCCTGGCTGAGGGAAGGAGGTTCTCACCCAAGATTTGACGGTACATGGCCCCGTCCATCGTCCCTTTGATGCGGTGAAGTTGTCCTGTCCCCTTAGCAGAAAAACACCCCCAAAGCATAATGTTTCCGCCTCCATGTTTGACGGTGGGGATGGTGTTCTTGGGGTCATAGGCAGCATTCCTCCTCCTCCAAACACGGCGAGTTGAGTTGATGCCAAAGAGCTCGATTTTGGTCTCATCTGACCACAACACTTTCACCCAGTTCTCCTCTGAATCATTCAGATGTTCATTGGCAAACTTCAGACGGCCCTGTATAAGTGCTTTCTTGAGCAGGGGGACCTTGCGGGCGCTGCAGGATTTCAGTGTGTTACCAATTGTTTTCTTGGTGACTATGGTCCCAGCTGCCTTGAGATCAATGACAAGATCCTCCCGTGTAGTTCTGGGCTGATTCCTCACCGTTCTCATGATCATTGCAACTCCACGAGGTGAGATCTTGCATGGAGCCCCAGGCCAAGGGAGATTGACAGTTCTTTTGTGTTTCTTCCATTTGCGAATAATCGCACCAACTGTTGTCACCTTCTCACCAAGCTGCTTGGCGATGGTCTTGTAGCCCATTCCAGCCTTATGTAGGTCCTTAATCTTGTCCCTGACATCCTTGGAGAGCTCTTTGGTCTTAGCCATGGTGGAGAGTTTGGAATCTGATTGATTGATTGCTTCTGTGGACAGGTGTCTTTTATACAGGTAACAAACTGAGATTAGGAGCACTCCCTTTAAGAGTGTGCTCCTAATCTCAGCTCGTTACCTGTATAAAAGACACCTGGGAGCCAGAAGTCTTTCTGATTGAGAGGGGCTCAAATACTAATTTCCCTCATTAAAATGCAAATCAATTTATAACATTTTTGACATGTGTTTTTCTGGATTTTTTGTTGTTATTCTGTCTCTCACTGTTCAAATAAACCTACTATTAAAATTATAGACTGATAATTTCTTTGTCAGTGGGCAAACGTACAAAATCAGCAGGGGATCAAATACTTTTTTCCCTCACTGTAGAATTAAATAATATATTGATGATAAGGGTGGATGAAGATACTGGAACACGAGGCTGTGGCAATACCTTGCCTAATGCTACAGAAACAGGAGATGGGCCACTCTGGCTCGGACAAGGCTCACACAACACAAACTTCTGTGTATGGGGTACAAGATGGATACCTTGTCTTTGAACTGTCCGTTGAAGGCGAACTGGTTCTCTGGTTTCCCGTCTGGTACCTTGTACCTCCTGAACCAGTCCACTGTGGCCTCCAAGTAACCTGGCTTCAGTCTCTGGATGTCACCGATGTCTGAGGTACACAGGATAAGGAGGGGGGATGACTGTGGCAATAGGAATAGACACACACACCCACACACTTGGGAAAACAATTGTTCAATCATTGCATTCTTCACTTGAGCAATCATATTCCAGTACTACTACATGCAGTGACTGGGCCAATGGGCAGTATTAAGGATTGGCCTGTTATTCTGTATTAGGGATTCTCAGTTTAGCCCACATCTAGCTCCTCCGGTGCTTACTGTTCAGGTCCTTAGCTTCAGGGTCCTCCACGTTGATGGCCATGACTTTCCAGTCCGTCTCCCCTTCGTCGATCATGGCCAAAACCCCCAGTACCTTCACCTTGATCACTTCACCACGCGAACACACCTGGAGAGGAGACAGGGATGTGATCAGTACAACACAGAAAACTTGGTCCTCTGTAGCTCAGCTGGTAGAGCACGGCGCTTGTAACGCCAGTAGTGGTTCGATCCCCGGGACCACCCATACACACAAAAAAAAATGTATGCCGGCATGACTGTAAGTGTCCTTTGGATAAAAGCGTCTGCTAATTGGCCATATATTTATATTATTATCTTTATTATTAAATCATTACTTATTATATTATTTATTATTATTATTATTATTATTGATATTTATTTATTATTATTAAACTTATTGGTATGGGGATAGGTCAATTTCAATGATATTATGTCAAAAAACAGATCACATGTCTGAGGAAAGTTAATTTCATCACACAACCACACATGAAGCTCACACCACAATTCACTACAGACAGCTGATGTAGTAACAAAATCTGCCTAATTGTTACCAACATACTTTTCAAAATTGGACACTTTGCTTAGGTGAAAGAAAGCTGCTCTGAATGACACCATAAGCATGTAAGAATGTCAGACAGTGGATGGAAGAAACAAGATCTTAAAACAGCTCTAAATGTTTAATGGTTACAGGATTAAGAACAAGTGCTGTACCTTGGTACCGATTTCACAGACGTCAATGGGGTCATTGTCACCACAGCAGCCAGTGTCTCCATCTTTGTGCCCGGGGTCCTCCCAAGTCTATCAAGAAAGAGAAATATCACTGTCAAAAAAAGATTGAGATACTTAGTTCATATCACCACAGAGAACTAGGCAATCAATGCCAACTCAATTCTAGGTGATCAATGAGTTGAGTTGGACATGGATAGCGTAGTCTGCATTGTCAGACCACATGTAGCTTAGTACCAGGTTAGTGACTGTCTGGTAACAGGTTAGTGACTGTCTGGTGGCAGGTTAGTGACTGTCTGGTGGCAGGTTAGTGACTGTCTGGTAACAGGTTAGTGACTGTCTGGTGGCAGGTTAGTGACTGTCTGGTGGCAGGTTAGTGACTGTCTGGTGGCAGGTTAGTGACTGTCTGGTGGCAGGTTAGTGACTGTCTGGTGGCAGGTTAGTGACTGTCTGGTGGCAGGTTAGTGACTGTCTGGTGGCAGGTTAGTGAATGTCTGGTGGCAGGTTAGTGAATGTCTGGTGGCAGGTTAGTGAATGTCTGGTGGCAGGTTAGTGAATGTCTGGTGGCAGGTTAGTGAATGTCTGGTGGCAGGTTAGTGACTGTCTGACCTGAGGTATTGCGCCATAGTTCCAGATGTAGCCTTTGTGGGGGAAAACATTGGCGACGTAACGCAGGTTCCCCTTCTTCACATCCTGCTTGATCGGGTTCAGGGGGTCTTTGGTCGCAATCTGGAAGTAGAAAAGCCAAACATTATTGAATGTGCTTTCAACGTCTTGAAAAACGATCTGGTCCTAATTGCCACACGTACTCTTAAATCTCCACCTGGCACAGCCAGAAGAGGACTGGCCACCCCTCTGAGCCTGGTTCCTCTCTAGGTTTCTTCCTAGGTTCCTGCCTTCTAGGGAGTTTTTGTAGCCACTGTGCTACTGCATCTGAATTGCTTGCTCTTTGGGGTTTTAGGCTGGGTATCTGTAAATAACTTTCTGACAGCTGATGTAAAAAGGTCTTTATAAAATACATTTGATGCCTTATTTTGCTTACCTCTCTTGACTAGCCAGGGGCCAGTTTCCCAGACACAGATTAAGCCTAGTCCACGATTTTTCAAATGCATGCTCAATAGAGAACCTCTATTGAAATAGCTTTTTAGTTACCGGACAAGGCCTAATCTGTGTCCGGGAAACTGGCCCTAGGTCGTTATCGTAAAAGCCAGACTAATCTGGCTAAATAAAGGTTGAGTTGTTCTGATATGTGACAAATGGATACAGGTAAGTAGGTTTGCATTGTTATATTAGGCTTATGGACTAAGACCTGGTATATTACTGTAAAGGTAAAGTTAGCAGGAAGAGGATCTTCACTAGGCTAGAGCACAATGTACACAGCAGGGTTGGGCTCAATTCGAATTGAAGGGAGTCAAATCAGGAAGCAAACTAAAATTCTAATTCAATCGAAAAAAGGGCATTTATTTTCAATGACTTCTCAATAAACTGAAAAGTAGAAGCTATTTATTTATTTCAAAAGTTTTTTAAAAATGTCTGCATTTTAAATTCAAATCACTTCCTGAATTGACTGCCTTCAATTCGAATTGAGCCCAACCCTGGTATCCACCACAATATTGTTTCTGCACCCTGCACATCAGGGACCACAATGGAAATACGCCACTGACTTTGTGCTATCCCGGTCACGTTTTTAACATAAATGTACTGTGTATTTTTTACAAACTGGCTCATAAAATCAATCGATCAATCAATCAATCAAGGTGAACCTACCTCCATCTTTGAGTTTGTCCACCTTGGTACTTCAACAACCACGTGGAAAATGTTCTGAAAGAGAAGAGAGCAATGAATCATACTGCTTTTTTTGTGTGCCTGTGTCACATACACTACATCTCATTCCAAAATCATGGACATGAATATGGAGTTGGTCCCCCCTATGCTGCTAAAACAGCCTCCACTCTTCTGGGAAGGCTTTCCACTAGATGTTGGAACATTGCTGCGGGGACTTGCTTCCATTCAGCCACAAGAGCATTAGTGAGGTCGGGCACCAATGTTGGGCGATTAGGCCTGGCTCACAGTCGGCGTTCCAATTCATCCCATAGGTGTTTGATTGGGTTGAGGTCAGGGCTCTGCGTAGGCCAGTCAAGTTCTTCCACACTGATCTCGACAAACCATTTCTGTATGGATCTCGCTTTGTGCACGGGGGCATTGTCATGCTGAAACAGGAAAGGGCCTTCCCCAAATTGTTGCCACAAAGTTGGAAGCACAGAATCGTCTATAATTTCACTGTATGCTGTAGCGTTAAGATTTGGCGTTAAGCGTTAAGACTGGTTACAATGCAAATAGTCCGGGTAGCCATTTGATTAGCTGTTCAGGAGTCTAATGGCTTGGGGGTAGAAGCTGTTAAGAAGCCTTTTGAACCTAGACTTGCCGCTCCAGTACCGCTTGCCGTGCGGTAGCAGAGAGAACAGTCTATGACTAGGGTGGCTGGAGTCTTTGACCATTTTTAGGGCCTTCCTCTGACACCGCCTGGTATAGAGGTCCTGGATGGCAGGAAGCTTGGCCCCAGTGATGTACTGGGCCGTACGCACTACCCTCTGTAGTGCCTTGCGGTCGGAGGCCGAGCAGTTGCCATACCAGGTAGTGATGCAACCAGTCAGGATGCTCTCGATGGTGCAGCTGTAGACATTTTTGAGGATCTGAGGACCCATGCCAAATCTTTTCAGTCTCCTGAGGGGGAATAGGCTTTGTCGTGCCCTCTTCACGACTGTCTTAGTGTGTTTGGACCATGATAGTTTGTTGGTGATGTGGACACCAAGGAACTTGAAGCTCTCAACCTGCTCCACTACAGCCCTGTTGATGAGAATGGGGGCGTGCTCGGTTCTCTTCTTTTTCCTGTAGTCCACAATCATCTCCTTTGTCATGTCCAATGGCAGTGAGGTTTACACCACTCCAGCCGACGCTTGACATTGCGCATGGTGATCTTAGGCTTGTGTGCGGCTGCTCGGCCATGGAAACCCATTTCATGAAGCTCCAAACGAACAGTTCTTGTGCTGACTTTGCTTCCAGAGGCAGTTTGGAACTCAGTAGTGAGTGTTGCAACCTAGGACAGACGATTTTTACGCGCTTCAATACTCGGCGGTCCCATTCTGTGAGCTTGTGTGGCCTACCACTTCGTGCCTGAGCCGTTGTTGCGCCACTTCACAATAACAGCACTTAGAGTTCACCAGGGCAGCTCTAGCAGGGCAGAAATTTGACGAACTGACTTGTTGGAAAGGTGACATCCTATGACAGTGCCACATTGAAAGTCATTGAGCTCTTCGGTAAGGCCATTCTATAGCAAATGTTTGTCTACGGAGATTGCATGGCTGTGTGCTTGATTTTATACACCTGTCAGCAACGGGTGTGGCTGAAATAGCCAAATCCACTAATTTGAAGGGGTGTCCACATACCTTTCTATATATAGTGTATCATAATATCAATATACCCAGGTATAATTTATTTATGACTATGGATGAGTTGGAGGAAACTAAAGGCCATCCAACTGGGATATATTATTCCAGAGAGATAAGATACCAGGAAATCCAGAATTACTGCCCAATGATTGAAGAGTTTAGTGTTGGAGGGGTAAAGACCATTGCTTTGACAAACGGACTATGACCTTGCTAGTGCTACTCCTACTCTCCCACACAATACATTTTTTTGGCTAACAATAATACATTAAAGCTATTCCGACCACAAGGTTTCACCATGGAGTCAAAAGTTAGACTAAGTGGGTGTCTTTCTGTAAAGAAACAGTTGAATAGATATCCCATCTACATTCAGTGTGTGTGTTATTGTGTAATTGGGTGTTGTAGCAGGATAAAGGTGATATACTTTACCTGGCTCTCATCAGCGTACATAGGTATGTCATGGAATGGGGAGACATACTTTCCATCAGCATTTTCTACAGAGAACAGACAATAACATACGAGTAAATTAATCCATATGAATTCAATCACTTTGAGAGCATCCCTTTTGATTTAAACAAACTTTCCATACGTTTGCCCATAGAAGAAGTGGTCTGAAAGTGACTTTTTGGATCTGAATGCCAAAACATTCAGGAGATAGAGGTGCTCAAAGTTGACCCATTTTGCATACCACACCATGAGTACATTCATGTCTTTATCACTCGAAAAGATAAACGGTTGAGATTGATATAATTGAAAAGCTTACAAACAGGGTTGTCAAACTATTTCCTAATTACTTGAAAAAAAATATTGGGAAAAAAAAATACAGAAATCACTCCGCCATTTCCTGGTTGCAAAAATTCATATAGTTTGCCTAATTTCAGTTTATGTGAAAAAACAAGCAATGTAGAGAATCATTGTACCATCTAAACAGCTGTGAAATATATTTTCAATAATCAAAAATATTGTATTTTTAGCTGTTTGAAGCAAGTGTACAAAACCGAAAGTAAAAGATGCAAAAATGAAACTTAATAACGGGAAGCATAGAAATACTGCACATAGAACAGAACTAGCGTAAGTGTACCGATTTAAGCCCACCAAAATCTTAGTTTAGACATTTAATGTAAACAACCCTAATATTCATTACATGTAGATTAAATGAAATATAAATCTCTCGTGAAGTTTTATGACTTTACTTACGAAAATGTTTTATGTGAGAGAAAAATATTTGATCAAATATGTGAAAAGTCCAGGCTGGGCTTAATGGGTAGCGAATGTACCCTTTAAACCCATGGGGGGTTCCAAATAAGCCTACCTCTTAAATAATCAATTTTTATTCATTTCCAACTGTTAAAAACATACTGACATTTCTTATGTAAGCTTAAATTATAATAATCTCCCCTAAAGTTATTAAAATCAATTGATCATTACCATTTATCATGAAAGTAGCATTCATTAATTGTTTTGCACCGACTCTCTTGCACTGGCTCTATGTACACGCACTAGACTCTACCCCAGCAGTTCCTAAACTAGGGGTCGCGACCTGATAGGAAAATGGGGTCGTGGGAGAATTTCCAATTTCCAAAAATAATAATAATAATATATATATATACACACATACATACTAAACAAAAATATAAACGCAACATGCAACAATTTCAAAGACTTTACTGAGTTACAATTCATATAAGGAAATCAGTCAACTGAAATAAATTCATTAGGCCCAAATCTATGGATTTCACATGACTGGAATACAAATATGCATCTGTTGGTCACAGATTCCTTTAAAAAAATAAAAAAGTAGGGGCATGGCTCAGAAAACCAGTCAGTATCTGGTGTGACCACCATTTGCCTCATGTAGCGCGACATATCTCCTTCGCATAGAGTTGATCAGGCTGTTGATTGTGGTCTGTGAAATTTTGTCTCACTCTTCAATGGCTGTGTGAAGTTGCTGGATATTGGCGGTAACTGGAACACATTGTCGTACACGTCGATCCAGAGCATCCCAAACATGCTCAATGGGTGACATGGCTGGTGAGTATGCAGGCCATCATCATGCTGAAACATGAGGTGATGGTGGCGGTTGAATGGCACGACAATGGGCCTCAGGATCTCGTCACGGTATATCTGTGCATTCAAATTCCCATTGATAAAATGCAATTGTGTTCGTTGTCCGTAGCTTATGCCTGCCCACACCATAACCCCACCGCCACCATGGGGCATTCTGTTCACAACATTGACATCAGCAAACCGCTCGTCCACACGATGCCATACACGCTGTCTGCCATCTACCTGGTACAGTTGAAACTGGGATTCATCTGTGAAAAGCACACTTCTCCAGCATGCCAATGGCCACTGAAGGTGAGCATTTGCCCCCTGAATTAGGTTTCAACGCCGAACTGCAGTCAGGTCAAGACGCTGGTGAGGACCACGAGCACGCAGATGTGCTTCCCTGAGATGGTTTCTGACAGTTTTTGCAGATATTCTTCAGTTGTGCAAACCCAAGGTTTCATCAGCTGTCCTGGTGGCTGGTCTCAGACGATACCGCAGTTGAAGAATCCGGATGTGGAGGTCCTGGGCTGGCATGGTTACACGTGGTCTGCGGTTGTGAGGCCGGTTGGACGAACTGCCAAATTCTCTAAAACGACGTTGGAGGCGGCTTATGGTAGAGAAATTAACATTCAATTCTCTGGCAACAGCTCTGGTGGACATTCCTGCAGTCAGCATGACAATTGCACGCTCCCTCAAAACTTCAGACATCTGTGGCATTGTGTTGTGTGACAAAACTGCTCATTTCAGAGTGGCCTTTTATTGTCCCCAGCACAAGGTGCACCTGTGTAATGAGCATGCTGTTTAATCAGCTTCTTGATATGCCACACCTGTCAGGTGGATAGATTATCTTGGTAAGGAAAGAAATGCTCACTAACAGGGATGTAAATACATTTGTGCACAACATTTGAGAGACATTTCTAGGATATTTTATTTCAGCTCATGAAACATTGGACCAACACTTTACATGTTGAGTTTATATTTTTGTTCAGTATATGTATAACAATGCAATGTTTATTTAACAGTAAAATAAGACTAAATGTATCTTAAAAAGTGAGCTGTGAGTGCTTGATATCTATTATATTGTTGTGGCTCACCAAGTTATGTTGCTACTGGTTTGACTGACATGTGGTACGACTGCTAGCATAAAAAACCCATATTTTCAATTGGAAATTGTAATTAATACTATCACTTAATGTAGTATGCTATCATGTGCATATATCAACACATTAATCTCTTAATTTTACATGAAGTATGATCACTTATCTGAGAAGGTACTAAAAATATCTGGGAAATGTGTTCGTCTGAGAGTCTCCTCCACACCAAAGTTTTTTTGTAGCTTTGAAATTGGCCACTAGTAGGTACTTAAACATAACTTGATAATAAAACATCCGATTGGCTTAGAATAAAAACTGTTATGGATACAACAACCACATGAACATTAAATAGCAAAAAGATGTAACTTTTTGGGCGACCCGACCAAATTCACATAGAAATGTAAGTTATAGATCTGTCATTCTCATTGAAAGCAATTCTAAGAAGTGTTAGATATGTTCTATGTGCTCTATTTCTATACGTCAGTTCTTACTTTTACTTTCGGTTTTGTACACCAGCTTCAAACAGCTGAAAATACAATATTTTTGATAATGGAAAATATATTTCACAGCAGTTCAGATGGTACAATGATTCTCTACACTATACTTGCTTGTTTTGTCACAAACTGAAATTAGGCGAACCATTAGAATTTTAGCAACTAGGAAATGGCATCACGATTTCCTGAATAGTGCATCTTTAAATTAAATTGAAATTTTAACTTCTAATTACTACCACAAAGATGGCCGCCGGTCCACCCACCGTCGAATGTCAACTTAAATGGTCATGTCTCTTCTATTATCAATAGTTCTATAATTTCAACAGGTTTCCTATGGGGGATTGACAGTATAATTTAAAACAGATATTCCCATTCAAGCCAACATTCTCTGATGTGTGGACCTCCAACCATCTTTGTGGAAATGTAATATTTTCCAATTTTAGTACATTTAAAATCGGCCAAAACATGACCCCCACCCTGTATTCAAGAACATGTTCTGTCTCAACCGATGGCGGGCACAACATAAAAACCTCAGATAATATAAAAGCAAAGGTATAAGCTACAACATATGCAAATATGAAACAAATCTGAGTTTACACGTTTTTAAATGATTGACGTAATAACAACTTTTTTTTCAAGAAATTATAAAAACTTTTTGACAACCCTGCTTGTAAGCTTTTAAATTATATCAATCTCAACTGTTTATTTTTTTCCAGTGATGAAGACATGAATGTCACATGGTATGGTGGGGTATGTAAAATAGGTCAATTTTGAGCACCTTGATCTCTTGAATGATTTAGCATTCAGGTCCAAAAAGTCACTCTCTGAGAACTTCTACAATGGGCAAATATGTATGGAAGGTTTCATTCAAATCAAAAAGGGGTGCTGTCAACAAGTGATGGAATTCAAATTGATTTACCCATATGGTCATGAGAATTGGTGAACATGAGTGACCTTTAACTTCAGTGTGTGTGTTAGCTTGGGTATCCCAAAATTGATCACAAACATTTTGAAGCTAAGCCATTTGCTCGTTCTCTGCTGCGCAGTACGGTCATATCTGACTAAGATCATAACATGTTGTCAGAAGCGCTTCAACCCTAAAACAGGAGAGATTATTTCACAGAAAATAATGTTCCTTGAGTTGTCGGAGTATAGATTGACTAAAAGTAACTAACAGCTCACTGCTCTCTCATTGAGCAGAGCAGCCCAAGCGGAACAGTTGCTATGGATACTCACTGAGTCAGAGCTGCCTTGACCAGAGTGCATGCAGGGCCGGGCTTTACATTTGCCAGAAGCAATCAGGGCCTGGGTAGGGCTCTGGCTTAAAATTTGTGTCCGTGAAGGCCTCTAGTGTGTGTGTGTGTGTGTGTGTGTGTGTGTAAATGTAATCAACCTCTCTTGCACATTAATAACACTTATTCATGATGGAACCCCCAGAGTTATGGACATCAGTGCTCAATCACAAAGGCTGCACTGTATGCAACAAATATGAAAAACTGCTGAATCACATTCAATATGAACAATGAAACATTCAGGCTAACTGGTTAGATGAGAAACACCTTTGACAGGTCTTGAAGCCTAATCTTAGAAACTGGGCGTAACCCACACATAGTTTATAAGCTGCATTATCTAAGTTGCTGGTGTGGTAGCCCTTTCAATAGATGGTAATGTTAAACATATACAGTCTATTCACGAAGCTGTCTGCCGCCCAAGGGCAATGGCCCGACTCTCCAAGCTGCCCAAATGCTCTGTCTAAAAGTCGATAAGCCTCGCTTGCGATATGGTTTTTGGAAACCTTTGGAACATAACTTTCATATTGACAAAAAATATGTATTTTTAAACTAATGGTTAAATAACTACACACCTTTATAGGGTTAGGGTTTCCAAACAGACATATTTCCATGTTACAGTGCTTGTTTACAGAAGAGAGGCGACTACCTGTTCTAATTAGCGTCTCTGAACACCTGTGAGTACAGTAATGGAAGAAGAATGCCAGAATAGTGTTGTAACTGAACAATACTGTTTACTACAACTGTGTTAAAAACATTTAAAACAGGGTACAGTAAGTGTATATTTTGCGTTTGTGAAATTATTTTGATGTGAAAGTAGAGGGCTTTATGTTTCCAAAACCGTATCACAAGCATTATTAACGTTTCTAAATGTTAAAACAGAGGGTTGGAGTTGTAGTTAGCATGGAGCCAGCTTAGCCCAAGATGTACTCTTAAGGAGTCTATACCATTTTTAATAACATAAAGTAAAGGACTTTATGTTATTTTCTGATGTAGATTGGCTCTGGCAGTCCAAAAATCCATCTAAACGTGAATCGATTCTCAATTGCGATAGAAAACATAAAGCCCTTTCCCTTCATATCACATCAAAATAATTTCACAAATGCTAAAACTACACTTATTGTACACTGTTTTAACCGGCTATCACAGTTGCAGCAGACAGTATTTTCCAGTGACAACACGTTTCTGGCGGCCTTATTACTTTAGGCTACAGCTACACACAGCTGTTCGGAGACGTAGATAGCTAATTAGCACAGGTGGTCCCTCTGTCTCCCATCAACACGCGCTGTAACAGATATGGCCATGTGGGAACACTAACTCTATAACAAGGTGTGTATCGGCCTCCCGAGTGGCGCAGCGGTCTAAGGGACTGCATCGCAGTGTAGCGGCGTCACTACAGCCTGGGGTTCGATCTGTGTCATTACCGGCCGTGACCGGGAGTCCCATAGGGCGGCGCACAATTGGCCCAGTGTCGTCCGGGTTAGGGGAGGGTTTGGTCGGGGTTATTTACTTGGCTCATTATGCTCTAGCGACTCCTTGTGGCAGGCCGGAAACCTGCAGGCTGACTTCAGTCATCAGTTGAACAGTGTTTCCTCTGACACATTGGTGCAGCTGGCTTCCGGGTTAAGCGAGCGGGTCATGTTTCGGAGGACGCATGACTCGACCTTCGCCTCTCCCAAGCCCGTTGGGGAGTTGGAGCGATGAGACAAGATCGTAATCACAAAATTGTGGGTAAAAATTACACCATTTTTTACAATTCTAATAAATAATAATAATAATAATAATAATAATAATAATAATAATAAATAAATAACATACTGCAAGCGATGCGTGTTAATGTTCAGACCAAGTGTCAGGGCTCTTAACAAAACTCCCCGTACAGAAGATGCCTTCGTCCAATGACTTATGTGTAATGTATGGAACAGAGAGTCACGATCAAGGGCTCTGAGCCAGCTGTGGTCGATACATTCAGCTGAGAACCCAAGACGGGGAAGATGAAAGCCTCTGAGCCTCTGGCCTTGGGCCCCCTTGGGTTCTCGAGAGCTACTGGTGTGGTATCCCAACAATACTAGCTTATATCAGAAATACCACAATTACAGAATTAACCTAATATACACTAAACATAGGAATTAATTGGATCCTGATGCCAAGTCAAATTCACGTCCAGCAAATTCAATAGAAGCATTTGTCAACCAACCGGCAAAACTGGTCCATTCAATTACTAGTTTGTCTGCTCAAATCAATCAATGTGGAGCAAAGTCCAAGCGATGTTACACGCCTATAATTATAAATCCACGATGCTAGGTGACAATATGTGTGAAATCTAGCTACACTTGAACGTGACATTAGATAGGAGTATGAAGGCAAGGAATAAAAGTGACACGTGGGAGGTTGGGGCCGGCCCCAGTAGCAAACCGGCAAATCCACGGACACGATTATAGCAAGCTAATAGCCTAAACTAAAAAGTGAACCATACTTACTGAAAAACAAACGATAGCTCATTGTATTGGGGTTCCCCCTCTCTTCGACTGTGAAGCTCATGTTTAATCTGTGTTGGTTTCTTGCTGCGGTGATGGCTAGTGCACTTTGAGTGTTCAAAAGAAGTCCACCCAGAACTACACTGCACATGCGCATTTCTAGGCAGAGAGCTTGGTAAGTGTGCAGCAACTGCGCATAACGAATAATCATAGCGCGTTGAAGATTACGTAGGCATACTGACACTGTGTGCAGTTAATTCTGAGTGTATCAGTGCTTTTGCAAACCAGCTGAATATAAGGCAGGTCTCCAAACCAATCTACTGTACATTTTCTTGAATATGGGAAATATCATGATATTAATCCACTAAAACGATGTCCTGCCATAAATCATAAATCCTGCTATAGTTTGTTAGAGTAGATCACATGCTACATGTAAACGGTAAAGCAAAATATCCCTCAACATACATAAAAGAAAACAAAACAAACAATTATGTTTTCCCCCTAAACACGTGAGGTGGTCTCTTCCATTAGCCCTTAGTTATTATTCCAAAGACAGTACAGTATGGTTTGAAGCAGAGATCTATATATAATGACAAGATGCTCATGTCGCCGCCCTAACGATGGGAGTCGTTGTCGTAATGTAAAAAATAGGTCGTTGTCCGGGCAGGCGACAAGTTTAGGTCTGCTTAAGCCCAGAAACGCATTAGGCTTATTTTGGACAGATTTTGCCGTAACCTTCTCGCTTCGCCTCTTCCTCTCTGTTTGAAGATTTGAAAACTGTGATTATTCTTTGTCGTTTGTCATTGCGTAATAGCGCCATCAGGCGGCAGTTCGGGCTACTCTTCCATTAACGTCATATCCGGTCTCCTTGTGTTGTTGTTCTTTCTGCTTGGCGGAGGGAGTGGGGCTGTGCTGACGGCTGGGAGGACGAGAGGAGCGAGAAGAAAGACTTGGGAAGAGATCAACGAGAAAGGGAAAAGGCCGTGGATTCCACCGTCCGTCGGGTTAGATATCAACCACCTACAGATTGCAACACCGCCTGACCAGTCACTAAACCGGGGGTGAAATGTCGTCGTCTACCAGTCGTCAGCTTAGCGATAGCAGGGCCATTCCGACCAGGACAGTGTTGATCAACGATACAACGCAGCTACCTCATGACTATTGCACCACCCCTGGGGGCACTTTATTTTCGACCACTCCGGGAGGTAAAACCAACACAAACCTATAAATTGTATATTAATGCTGATATGATGTGTGTTTAAGTAACTCTCGCCATTTCGCTTTGCACTGTCGTGCATTGTGGCCTAGTAAGATCGAATGCAACACAAGGCAGCCTTGTCCAAGCGTTCATAACAAAAGCAATGGTTTGTCCCGCCCCTGCCGTCCCCTTTGGCAATGTGATTGGTTGGTGTTCAACAGCAGTGATTCTGAATCATGGTGGCTGCCTACATAACAATACAATAGATGATTTATTGCAGAGGAGGCTGGTGGGAGGAGCTATATGAGGACGGGCTCATTGTAATAGCTGGAATGGAATCAATGGAACGGTATCAAACAAATGGAAACCACATGTTTGACTCCGTTCCATTGATTCCATTTCCAGCCATTATATTCAACCCATCCTCCTAAAGCTCCTCCCACCAGCCTCCTCTGATTTATTGATATACATTTTAGTCATTTAGCAGACGCTCTTATCCAGAGCGACTTACAGTTAGTGAGTGCATACATTTTCATACTGGCCCCCCGTGGGAATCGAACCCACAACCCTGGCGTTGCAAGCGCCATGCTCTACCAACTGAGATACACGGGACCATTGGGTAATTTGTCATTTTCAATGATTAGTAATGTTTTGAGCGAGTCTGTATTAAAATAGATATGTCCATTTGATATATTGTATAATAATTAACATATTGTATTTTCACCCCCCCCTCCCCCCCGTTGCCGCAAGATGAATGGTTTTGCCTACTGGAATGTTTTGCTTCTCTCCTGGGCGCCACTGTTTTGGTTCAGTGCAGTTAGAAAGCACTAGTTGCACCACTGGTATTTAAAATGAAAAGGCACCTGCAAAAGAAAATAGTTTATCTATTATGTTGTGCTGTTACATTTGTATCGTTGTTTTATGTGCGATGCACTCAGGGTGTTGTCACGGGACATGTCTGATTAGGCTTCGCTGTATCTTAGCCTCTGGGAGAATCTTAATTGCTCGCGCTCGCTCTCCCCGCCTCTTTCTCAAAACCAATTGGAGGAGAAGGTCAGAGGGAAGGGACCTCTGGCTTTCTAATCCAATGGGTTTTGAGAAGGAGGAAGTGAGGAGTATGCAATTGAGATCTCCCACTGACCAAGAGTAGCCTTCCATCAGCCTACCGAAGGTTGCACCATTGTAGAAAACTGCATGTCCAGTACCTGGCGGACTGTCAATGAGTAGCTCGCAAGTAGATACTGAGAAATAATCAGTAGGCCTAATATTACATGATTAAATCTGTGAAATAATTTATCCCCAAACTCTTTACAGGTATTTAACGCCATTCTGCATTTTTGCCATCTATTTTCCCAACATCAATCTGCGCACCGTGCCCGCTTCGTGGTTACAATGTAGCCAAGCTGTGTCTGTATGCACCTATGCACAAAGTGAAAAAGCACAGGATATTTGCACCTCGATAAAACAGCTCTGCTTTGCTTGGAACGTAATATTGACCAAATAAGCCATTTCTACCCTCGTTGCATCAAATACAGTGGGGAGAACAAGTATTTGATACACTGCCTATTTTGCAGGTTTTCCTACTTACAAAGCATGTAGAGGTCTGTAATTTTTATCATAGGTACACTTCAACTGTGAGAGACGGAATCTAAAACAAAAATCCAGACAATCACATTGTATGATTTTTAAGTAATTAATTTGCATTTTATTGCATGGCATAAGTATTTGATCAGCTACCAACCAGTAAGAATTCCGGCTCTCACAGACCTGTTAGTTTTTCTTTAAGAAGCCCTCCTGTTCTCCACTCATTACCTGTATTAACTGCACCTGTTTGAACTCGTTACCTGTATAAAAGACACCTGTCCACACACTCAATCAAACAGACTCCAACCTCTCCACAATGGCCAAGACCAGAGAGCTGTGTAAGGACATCAGGGATAAAATTGTAGACCTGCACAAGGCTGGGATGGGCTACAGGACAATAGGCAAGCAGCTTGGTGAGAAGGCAACAACTGTTGGCGCAATTATTAGAAAATGGAAGAAGTTCAAGATGACGGTCAATCACCCTCGGTCTGGGGCTCCATGCAAGATCTCACCTTGTGGGGCATCAATGATCATGAGGAAGGTGAGGGATCAGCCCAGAACTACACGGCAGGACCTGGTCAATGACCTGAAGAGAGCTGGGACCACAGTCTCAAAGAAAACCATTAGTAACACACTACGCCGTCATGGATTAAAATCCTGCAGCGCACGCAAGGTCCCCCTGCTCAAGCCAGCACATGTCCAGGCCTGTATGAAGTTTGCCAATGACCATCTGGATGATCCAGAGGAGGAATGGGAGAAGGTCATGTGGTCTGATGAGACAAAAATAGAGCTTTTTGGTCTAAACTCCACTCGCCGTGTTTGGAGGAAGAAGAAGGATGAGTACAACCCCAAGAACACCATCCCAACCGTGAAGCATGGAGGTGGAAATAGCATTCTTTGGGGATGCTTTTCTGCAAAGGGGACAGGACGACTGCACCGTATTGAGGGGAGGATGGATGGGGCCATGTATCGCGAGATCTTGGCCAACAACCTCCTTCCCTCAGTAAGATCATTGAAGATGGGTCGTGGCTGGGTCTTCCAGCATGACAACGACCCGAAACACACAGCCAGGGCAACTAAGGAGTGGCTCCGTAAGAAGCATCTCAAGGTCCTGGAGTGGCCTAGCCAGTCTCCAGACCTGAACCCAATAGAAAATCTTTGGAGGGAGCTGAAAGTCCGTATTGCCCAGCGACAGCCCCGAAACCGGAAGGATCTGGAGAAGGTATGGAGGAGTGGGCCAAAATCCCTGCTGCAGTGTGTGCAAACCTGGTCAAGACCTACAGGAAATGTATGATCTCTGTAATTGCAAACAAAGGTTTCTGTACCAAATATTAAGTTCTGCTTTTCTGATGTATCAAATACTTAACGTCATGCAATAAAATGCAAATTAATTACTTAAAAATCATACAATGTGATTTTCTGGATTTTTGTTTTAGATTCTGTCTCTCACAGTTGAAGTGTACCTATGATAAAAATTACAGACCTCTACATGCTTTGTAAGTAGGAAAACCTGCAAAATCGGCAGTGTATCAAATACATTTACATTTACTTGTTCTCCCCACTGTATGTATGCTGCTTAGACAAGTTTTAAACATTTTCATGTTGACATTGACAGCGCCTCAAACTCAAAAGAGTCCATGTTGGAGGTAGGGATGGGTATCAGTCTCGATGGACGTCAAAACTCAATCTTTAACCAGAGATCAATTTTTTTTTATTTGCTTTGACTCTAGTGTTCCATAGGCCTACATGTGCATTTGCAGCAACAAAAAAGAAACCAAGCCAAGCATTACGCAGTTCTCCCTAAATTCTCTTTCCCCTCCATGTCTCACAATTGCATTCTGACCGCTCCCTCTACACACACTTCCTGAGTGCGCACACAAACTCCTGTTAGGCCTACAGAAATAAATGCCTGTAAAAACGTATCTGGTTGATTGAACTAGGGAAATATGTGTTCCAACAACAAGCTGCAGTTTTGGAATAATTGCGTCCCGTCTATTTTCCGCTTAGGCTACTTTGTGAACTGCTAATAAACTAAATTGAACGTCTGTATACCGAAAAGACAGATTTTGGTTTGTAACCCTGATAAAATTGTCTTTCAACTCGCCAAATTGAGACCAGTTTCAAATGATCACTCTTTGAGAATAGGCCTAACTGTTCCAGATGCGAGATGCGCGTCACTTTGCACTGGCAACATTTTTCATTTGAAAAAATATTCAGTTATATTTTATTCAGTTATATTGTGTCATGTTTTTACTATAGAAAAGGTGTGTCTTGATTGTGATAAGGGCTCGGGAAATAAGAGCGTCTTGTCTGCTAAATTAACAAAACAAGGCTATGCCATAGCACAGCCATAGGCTTCTACAAGCAAGGACCACTGCTGAGGTTACTGCCATTTTGAAGATTGTTCCACGATATAATATAACCAGTTGATATTACGGTTTCTTAAATGGCACTTGTTTTTTTATTGACTGAATACATATACGTTTATATATATATATATGTATTCAGTTCTAAAATTGATTAAATAACATGTTTTCCTCATAAATCTACACACAATACCCCATAATGACAAAACGAAAACAGGTGGTAGAAATGTTTGCTAATTTTATTTAAAAAATAAAAAACAGAAATAACTTATTACTGAATTATTCTGACCCTTTGCTACGAGACTCGAAATTGAGCTCAGGTGCATCCTGTTTCCATTGATCATCCTTGAGATGTTTCTACAACTTGATTGCAGTCCACCTGTGGTAAATTCAATTGATTGGACATGATTTGGAAAGTCACACACCTGTTTATATAAGGTCCCACAGTTGACAGTGCATGTCAGAGCAAAAACCAAGCCATGAGGTCGAAGGAATTGTCCGTAGAGCTTCGAAACAGGATTGTGTCAAGGCACAGATCTGGGGAAGCGTACCAAAACATTTCTGCAGCATTGAAGGTCCCCAAGAACACAGTGCCCTCTATCATTCTTAAATGGAAGAAGTTTGGAACCACCAAGACTCTTCCTAGACCTGGCCGCCCGGCCAAACTGAGCAATACAGTAAAAGGCACATGACAGCCCGCTTGGAGTTTGCCAAAAGGCACCTAAAGGACTCTGACCATTGAAAAACAATATTCTCTGGTCTGATGAAACCAAGATTGAACTCTTTGGCCTGAATGACAAGCGTCATGTCTGGAGGAAACCTGGCACCATCCCTACGGTGAAGCATGGTGGTGGCAGCATCATGCTGTGGGGATGTCTTTCAGTGGCAGGGACTGGGAGACTAGTCAGGATCGAGGCAAAGATGAACGGAGCAAAGTACAGAGAGATCCTTGATGAAAACCTGCTCCAGAGTGCTCAGGACCTCAGAATAGGGCGAAGGTTCACCTTCCAACAGGACAACGACCCTAAACCCACAGCCAAGACAACGCAGGAGTGGCTTCGGGACAAGTCTCTGAATGTCCTTGAGTGGCCCAGCCAGAGCCCGGACTTGAACCGGATCAAACATCTCTGGAGAGACCTGAAAATAGCTGTGCAGCGACGCTCCCCATCCAACCTGACAGAGCTTGAGTGGATCTGCAGAGAAGAATGGGAGAAACTCCACAAATACAGGTGTGCCAAGCTTGTAGCATCATACCCAAGAAGACTCGAGGCTGTAATCGCTGTCAAATGTGCTTCAACAAAGTACTGAGTAAAGGGTATGAATACTTATGTAAATGTGATATTTCAGTTTTTGTTTTTTTATAAATTTGCAATGATTTCTAAAAACCTGTCAAGGGGTCTGAATACTCACCGAATACACTGTATATGGGGCTATTTAGCAAATAGGATTTGTTATCTGTAATGGTTATGATAAATTAGGCATTGTTGTGCACTGTTGGCATATACAGTTGAAGTCGGAAGTTTACATACACTTAGGTTGGAGTCATTAAAAGTCGTTTTTCAACCACTCCACAAATTTCTTATTAACAAACTATTGTTTTGGCATGTCGGTTAGGACATCTACTTTGTGCATGACACAAGTAATTTTTCCAACAATTATTTACAGACAATTATAATTCCCTGTATCACAATTCCAGTGGGTCAGAAATGTACATACACTAAGTTGACTGTGCCTTTAAACAGCTTGGAAAATTCCAGAAAATGATGTCATGGCTTTAGAAGCTTCTGATAGGCTAATTGACATCATTTGAGTCAATTGGAGGTGTACCTGTGGATGTATTTCAAGGCCTACCTTCAAACTCATTGCCTCTTTGCTTGACCTCATGGGAAAATGAAAATAAATCAGCCAAGACCTCAGAAAAAAAAATTGTAGACCTCCACAAGTCTGGTTCATCCTTGGGAGCAATTTCCAAACGCCTGAAGGTACCACGTTTATCTGTACAAACAATAGTACGCAAGTATAAACACCATGGGACCACGCAGCCGTCATACCGCTCCTCGAGATGAACGTACTTTGGTTTGAAAAGTGCAAATACAATCCCAGAAGAACAGCAAAGGACCTTGTGAAGATGCTGGAGGAAACAGGTACAAAAGTATCTATATCCACAGTAAAACGAGTCCTATATCGACATAACCTGAAAGGCCGCTCAGCAAGGAAGAAGCCACTGCTCCAAAACTGCCATAAAAAAGCCAGACTATGGTTTGCAACTGCACATGGGGACAAAGATTGTACTTTTTGAGAAATGTCCTCTGGTCTGATGAAACAAAAATAGAACTGTTTGACCATAATGACCATCGTTATGTTTGGAGGAAAAAGGGGGCTGCTTGCATCGAACCGTGAAGCAGCATCATGCTGTGGGGGTGCTTTGCTGCAGGAGGGACTGGTGCACTTATCAAAATAGATGGCATCATGAGGAAGGAAAATTATGTGGATATATTGAAGCAACATCAAGACATCAGTCAGGTAGTTAAAGCTTTGTCGCAAATGGGTCTTCCAAATGGACAATGACCCCAAGCATACTTCCAAAGTTGTGGCAAAATGGCTTAAGGACAACAAAGTCAAGGTAATGGAGTGGCCATCACAAAGCCCTGACCTCAACCCTAACTGACCTAAGAAAGATCATTTTTACTAGGATTAAATGTCAGGAATTGTGAAAAACAGAGTTTAAATGTATTTTGCTAAGGTGTATGTAAACTTCCGACTTCAACAGTAGATACTGTATATTGCGGGGAAAACATTATGGCATTGTGTTTTTAAAATATTTTTTTATTAGAGTACTCGAGTTCAATATAATGTATTGTGGCAGAACTTAAGAAAAATAGTTGTGTTCTATTCATAAATATGGATGATTATTATTATTATTTGATTTTTTTTTTTTACTTCCCAAATTTTTTTTTCCTTTTTTTGGACCCCTGCTTTCAGACAGTCAGGCCCCCATGCCTTGGCAGTGTTGTGCATAACATACTTCATCTTTTGTTTTAAAATGGGTCTTTAAATATGTATTGAGCTAAACATGTGTATGCTCTTTCCCATTCTATTCACAGATGTATGTATTTGCATAATTTGTGTGCTGTGACTGTCATCACTCATTGTAAGGATGACAGGACGAAATGTGCAAAACAAGAAAACAGATGAATGCAATTTGACCTTGATTGGCCTATTTTGCACTGCTGCACGGTGCTACACTATTGCATGTTGATTAACTGTAAATTGAAGAAAATTGCATCTACATAAAGTTATAGATATTATATAATCAACATGTTATTATTCACATGGTGTACCAGTTCTCTAAAGCAGGTTTGTAATGCATACACTACCGTTCAAAAGTTTGGGGTCACAAAGAAAAAGCCATATCTCAGACTGGCCAATAAAAATTAAAGATTAAGATGGGCAGTCTGAGATATGGCTTTTGCTTTGCAACTCTGCCTAGAAGGTCAGCATCCCAGAGTAGCCTCTTCACTGTTGACATTGAGACTGGTGTTTAGCGAGTACTATTTAATGAAGCTGTCAGTTGAGGACCTGTGAGGCGCCTGTTTCTCAAACTAGACACTAATGTATTTGTCCTCTTGCTCAGTTGTGCACCGGGGCCTCCCACTCCTCTTTCTATTCTGGTTAGAGCCAGTTTGCGCTGTTGTGTGAAGGGAGTAGTACACAGCGTTGTACGAGATCTTCAGTTTCTTGGCAATTTCTCGCATAGAATAGCCTTCATTTCTCAGAACAAGAATAAACTAACGAGTTTCAGAAGAAAGTTATTTGTTTCTGGCCATTTTGAGCCTGTAATCGAACCCACAATTGCTGATGCTCCAGATACGCAACTAGTCTCAAGAAGGCCAGTTTTATTGCTTCTTTAATCAGCACAACAGTTTTCAGCTGTGCTAACATAATTGCAAAAGGGTTTTCTAATAATCAATTAGCCTTTTAAAATGATAAACTTGGATTAGCAAACAAAACGTGCCATTGGAACACAGGACTGATGGTTGCTGATAATGGGCCTCTGTACGCCTATGTAGATATTCCATAACAAATCAGCTGTTTCCAGCTACAATAGCCATTTACTACATTAACAATGTCTACACTGTATTTCTGATCAATTTTATGTTATTTTAATGGACCAAAAAATTGCTTTTCTTTCGAAAACAAGTAAAACTTTTGAACGGTAGTGTATGTTGTCACCTTATTTCTATACAGTCAATGATGTTACTAAATAATCACTCTCTTCCATCGTAGGGACCCGGATCATCTACGACCGTAAGTTCCTGTTGGACAGGCGTAACTCCCCCATTGCCCAGACCCCTCCGGCCCACCTGCCCATCATCCCTGGGGTGACCAGCCTCAACGTCCTGACCGAGAACGGGAGGAACGAGGCCAACAAACCCATCAAACCCCACAACAGCCATGGCAAGACAGCCACCGGTCAGTGGGCTACTATTACACAGATAAATATTGTTAGAATATATAATGGAAAGGTTTCCCAGACACAGATTAAGCCTAGTCTTGAACAAAGAAGCAACCAAGAAACTCCATTGAAAGTGTGCTTTCGTCCAGGACTAGATTAATCTTGGTTCAGAAAACCGTCTGTACGTATACCTCTATGGTACTACTAGCCTGGTCCCATATCCTCTAACAATCGTTGTCCTGCCATACAACATGCTCTCTCCCTGTAGTCCATGTCAACCATGTTTTTTAAATTGAATCCCTGAGTCATAGATATTAACAACCTCTCCCTCAACGTGATCAAGACAAAGGAGATGATTGTGGACTACAGGAAAAAAAAGAGGACTGAGCACGCCCCCATTCTCATCAACAGGGCTGTAGTGTAGCAGGTTGAGAGCTTCAAGTTCCTTGGTGTCCACATCACCAGGTCCACATTATCATGGTCCAAACACACCAAGACAGTCGTGAAGAGGGCACGACAAAGCGTATTCCCCCTCAGGAGACTGAAAAGATTTGGCATTGATGTTCAGATCCTCAAAAAGTTATACAGCTGCACTATCGAGCATCCTGACTGGTTGCATCACCGCCTGGTATGGCAACTGCTCGACCTCCGACCGCGAGGCACTACAGAGGGTAGTGCGTACGGCCCAGTACATCACTGGGGCCAAGCTTCCTGCCATCCAGGACCTCTATACCAGGCGGTGTCAGAGGAAGGCCCTAAAAATTATCAAAGACTCCAGCCACCCTAGTCATAGACTGTTCTCTCTGCTACCGCACGGCAAGCGGTACCGGAGCGCCAAGTCTAGGTCCAAAAGGCTTCTTAACAGCTTCTATCCCCAAGCCATAAGACTCTTGAACAGCTAATCATGGCTACTCTGACTATTTGCATTGCCCCCCCCCCCACCCCACTATGCATAGTCACTTTAACTCTACCCACATGTACATATTACTCGGGATAACCGGTCATACAAAAGTGGCTAACCTTTTAGCCAGGTATATTTATATGGCAACGAATCCTTCAGAACTAATCTGCTCCGGGGCAGGCTTCTCACTTCTAACTCCACTTACCCTGAATGAAATGACTGAGCTGCGAGTTGAGAACCAATTAAATCAGATTCCCTCCCTCTCGCAAAGATTCCATCATCATCCCCTTCATTTGAGGAAGACAAATGTTTTTGTGTGAAAATGTGCAATATTAAAATACTTGACAGGATGCATTTGAAAGTTCACGCAAGGTAACTTTTGTATGACTTAATTATGTTATCGATAGGAATGGGAAAAAAAGTGCTTGTGCATTGATAAGCACACCAAAGACGGCATTAACGATACGTAATAAAATAAAGATTGCACTTCTTATAGCCTATTTCACACCAAAGCCAGCTGAATTTGCAAGATAACTTGATTAAAATGTGGCACTGACTCGCCCATGGATTGATGGTCCAGCATTGTATCAATTAGTATTTTGTTGTTCGACCAGCCATGTGCGACATACACGGGCAGTTACAAGCCTGCTACAGGTAGTGCCAGCTGCTTGATCAATATCCACCTTCATAACATGGATGAAGCCTAACCTGTAATGTGGCTGGCTAGCTTTATAAAAGCCTGAGTAGAGCTAGCTTCCATCGTAGTATAGAGTACAATGCTTTAGAGTACAAGGTTGATGACATTGTATTTGTGTTCTTGTGTTTAAAGGTGAGGACGCTCAGTTCGAGATGGACATCTAACCTCCCCTGAGGAACCTCAACGGAACAACAGAAGAAGGAACTAACCTGGGACCTGTGCTGTGCGCCAGTGGCTTGGCTTGTAGAAACCAATGTTGTAAACCCTCACTTCACTCACGACAGCCATCTTCTTTAGCTCTCTGTCTCGCCGTCGCTGGGTGTGATATATATAAACTATACCATATACGGTGGCTCTGTTTCAATTTCCATGCTAGGATACCACTTAGAATGAAGCAATGTATTTGACATGTATCCCCCTAAGTGGTATAGTAGTGGGATATTGGAATGTAGTCTACATGTGTTGTAGCCAACTCTTCTATCGTTGTCAAGCCACAACCAAACAACACAGAGAGGCGTTGGCTACAGTACAAACTGACTGGGCTACCAGGTTATGGCCAACCCTGAGACGTAGTGGAAGACTCTGCTGCTCTATTCGAATAGGTCTCAGGGTTACAACTGCCATATTTGTATGTACTTCAGCCACATAACAAGAGAAAGGGCCTGAAACCAAGGTAACCAGAGATGTTCTTACCCATTAACGGAATGTAGACGCCCAAGTCAATGCAGTAATCTAAGCTGACCATTCTGTATGGCTGTACTACCAGAGCACACTGTAAACAAAGCCTTCTTTACCACTTTAGACTATTGATAATGGGGCCCAAGAAAATGTGCAACATTTACTACTTGTACTACTTTGTAGAGCAAAGTACTGGCATTAGAATCATCAGTCAAAAGGATTGATATTACTTATCCTTTTCAGAACTTTTGTTGTGCAACACAAATAGTTTGGTTTACATTTAAATTTAAATAGTTTATAACTGAATATGCTCCAAGATCTCTTACCTGCCTGTTTTGTAGTCCGTTAGGTTACCAACAAGTAAATTAATATGGACGATGTGACTGAGATTTTTTTCTTCAGATAAGCTGAGAATTTCATGGTCATTCCAAGCCTTGAATATCTATCCATCACCAATACAAGCCTGACTTTATGTTGTGTTTTGGGACTTTCTGGTAAAGGATTTTATGAAGATTTGGCTTTTGGTTTGTGGTGATGATTTGATAGATTTGCAAATGGAAGGACCAAATTAATTGATACATTACTTAAGACTATAGTTCGTTTTAAACAGTCTGATATTTGCTACATTTGAATTAACTACATAAACGGTTGAAGAACACTGAGATTTATTAGAAAATTAGACAGGAAAAAGTTTGAAAACTTGAATCGTTTCCAACAATTGTTCTATGCATTTTATTACATCTTGATATTTAACTTTTTTCAGTGTCAAAAACCAGATGGATATGAAAGGAAGAGCTGAGACCATTTTTTCATCAGACGTTGATACTGTATTACAGACAGTCCTCGTTTAGGTAATAGACTACACTTCTACCATCTTTCTTACCTTAATCTCTTCTTCTTTCACTATACTGTGCTAAATGTCTACCCCATGCCTTACACATTACATACCAAGATAAAAGGTTGTGACTAAAATTGAGTTCCTTGTCTACTGATTCAAATTACCCTCAACCAGAAAATAGTTTTATTTTAAACATACTTTTATGTTTGTATTTAGAACTTGGGAAAAATATTTATTTAGCACTTGGGAAAAATATATATTTCTTTAATTATTTTTTTAAAGACAGTTTTATTTTGTTATTCAGATGATTTTATTCTTTCAGCAGCTAAGAATATGTTTTTTTTTAAAAGGGGTGGCTTTGAATCATGGTCATTATTGTTTTTGGATGATTGTACATAACAGCTAATAACTGTCAGCAATTAAACCACCTTTTCATTCCATCTATGGGGCATCTCTTATTCAGATTATAAAATAAAAAATAAAATGATTATATATTAAATGTAATTATTGGATTTGATTGAAGGAGAGAAACAGTGTGTGTCAAAGAACTGAATTGTTTGACTTCATGAGAAATTATGAAATCTCAGTCTATTAATGTGGAAAATGATTATAGTGCTAAACATGCGGAGAGATTGTATCCATTTTGAATTGCACATGTTTCTGTTGGATTAGGATTGTATCTTTTTGTTTTGAAGTAGGCCTGCAGCAAATGTTTTATGGGGAAACCAGTTTGAGGCCAGTTTGGTTCTACGTGGAGGGCTTTTACACAACAAACCTAACTTCTGTTCCGATTTGAATTAACTTTATTTTCAGAGAAATGCCAATGCACACTGTTACAGCAAGATCAATAAAGTTCCTTGAGGATTATGCTGTTGTTTTTGCAATTTTGTCTACTTCGAACAGTTGCATGGTTGAAATCACACATGGTTTCACATGGTTGAGATCACATTGATAACAAAGGAAGATTACTTTATTGTCCAATGTACACAAATGTCCAACAGAAATGTATTCTGCTTTATCCCATTCCCAACCCCTCCAAAAGACAAATATACACACAGAGAGGAACATAAATACAGTGCCTTGCAAAAAGTATTTAGACCCTTTGGACTTCTTTACATTTTGTGTTACAAAGTGGGATTAAAATGGATAAAAAAATAAAAAATACATCTACACAAAATAATCTTATGTAAAAGTGGAAGAATTATATACAGTGGGGGAAAAAAGTATTTAGTCAGCCACCAATTGTGCAAGTTCTCCCACTTCAAAAGATGAGAGAGGCCTGTAATTTTCATCATAGGTACACGTCAACTATGACAGACAAAATGAGAAAAAAAAATCCAGAAAATCACATTGTAGGATTTTTTATGAATTTATTTGCAAATTATGGTGGAAAATAAGTATTTGGTCAATAACAAAAGTTTCTCAATACTTTGTTATATACCCTTTGTTGGCAATGACACAGGTCAAACGTTTTCTGTAAGTCTTCACAAGGTTTTCACACACTGTTGCTGGTATTTTGGCCCATTCCTCCATGCAGATCTCCTCTAGAGCAGTGATGTTTTGGGGCTGTCGCTGGGCAACACAGACTTTCAACTCCCTCCAAAGATTTTCTATGGGGTTGAGATCTGGAGACTGGCTAAGCCACTCCAGGACCTTGAAATGCTTCTTACGAAGCCACTCCGTCGTTGCCCGGGCGGTGTGTTTGGGAACATTGTCATGCTGAAAGACCCAGCCACGTTTCATCTTCAATGCCCTTGCTGATGGAAGGAGGTTTTCACTCAAAATCTCACGATACATGGCCCCATTCATTCTTTCCTTTACACGGATCATTCGTCCTGGTCCCTTTGCAGAAAAACAGCCCCAAAGCATGATGTTTCCACCCCCATGCTTCACAGTAGGTATGGTGTTCTTTGGATGCAACTCAGCATTCTTTGTCCTCCAAACACGACGAGTTGAGTTTTTACCAAAAAGTTCTATTTTGGTTTCATCTGACCATATGACATTCTCCCAATCCTCTTCTGGATCATCCAAATGCACTCTAGCAAACTTCAGACGGGCCTGGACATGTACTGGCTTAAGCAGGGGGACACGTCTGGCACTGCAGGATTTGAGTCCCTGGCGGCGTAGTGTGTTACTTATGGTAGGCTTTGTTACTTTGGTCCCAGCTCTCTGCAGGTTATTCACTAGGTCCCCCCTTGTGGTTCTGGGATTTTTGCTCACCGTTCTTGTGATCATTTTGACCCCACAGGGTGAGATCTTGCGTGGCGCCACAGATCGAGGGAGATTATCAGTGGTCTTGTATGTCTTCCATTTCCTAATAATTGCTCCCACAGTTGATTTCTTCAAACCAAGCTGCTTACCTATTGCAGATTCAGTCTTCCCAGCCTGGTGCAGGTCTACAATTTTGTTTCTGGTGTCCTTTGACAGCTCTTTGGTCTTGGCCATAGTGGAGTTTGGAGTGTGACTGTTTGAGGTTGTGGACAGGTGTCTTTTAGACTGATAACAAGTTCAAACAGGTGCCATTAATACAGGTAACGAGTGGAGGACAGAGGAGCCTCTTAAAGAAGAAGTTACAGGTCTGTGAGAGCCAGAAATCTTGCTTGTTTGTAGGTGACCAAATACTTATTTTCCACCATAATTTGAAAATAAATTCATTAAAAATCCTACAATGTGATTTTCTGGATTTTTTTTTCTCAATTTGTCTGTCATAGTTGATGTGTACCTATGATGAAAAGTACAGGCCTCTCTCATCTTTTTAAGTGGGAGAACTTGCACAATTGGTGGCTGACTAAATACTTTTTCCCCCCACTGTATATATATATTTTTCTTATAATTTGCCGGTCGTGGTGAAAAAAGGTAACGCTCCCTATATTTTTCTGAAAAAGGTGGGTAAACGTTGTTTACTTGCGTTTACCCTCCACTAGGCCTACACCCCTGCCAGTAGCCTACCCTCTCAGCCGAGGCAATTTTAAAACACATGAACACATGCAGAATAGGTAGCCGACATTCAATATAATACATGAGATGAATCAAAACATGTTTTACACCATAATTCATGAGTTGTCCATAATTCATGATTTAATGCTTGGAGTCTTCACAGATTGTGTGACATAAAACACTACCTTTCTTTCCTTACAATAGTTACATTTATGACAATGTTATTTGTCATTATTAAGCATTTAACAGTTGAATTAGAACATTGTATGAATCATGGATCTTGGAGATCTCTGAAAATACACTGTAAGTGTAACTATGTCTACATAACATTTCATCATGTTTCACTGTGAAAACAGTTCTCATGGACATACAAATCCAAAATAATGTAGGCCTATGCCATTGTAAAATCGAATGCTTTAAACCGAAAGAGTCAACTATAGGCCTACGGTCATCAATGTATACTTGTTGGATGGATTGAATGCGCATTGGTGTCTAGCTATAGGCTAGTTGTCTAGTGATATTGTCGACCATCATCAGCTGATCCAGGAAAGAAAACAAATATTGATCGAAAATAACAAAGCGAAATAAATGGTCTACTTCTTCTGGCCACGGATGGCACGGAGAACACCAGTACCTGGGCTCACCTGAAAAACAAAGCAATGAGCGCTCTAACAGCTGACTGACAAACGGCAACAATGATAAATCAATGGATAAATCTAATGCATTTGAATAAATACTTTTTTTATCAAGAAGCA